GCCCAGACATCGTCGAAGCATCTACACAAGAAGCCGACATGTCAACCTGAGACCGAGCACTTCGGTCCAATCAATCGACGGGAAAATCAAAAATTCAATTCAACAGATAAATGTATTATTTGAAGATTCTATTATAAGGAGTAGATAAAACCAAGCTGTGTGTAAATATAATCAGAATAAAGATGTTATTATCATTAGCAACAATAAAAAACTGTATGTTTTCTAAATTTAATCTTTCAATTCGGTAATTAATCATTATGAACTAACTAATCGAAGAAATATTTTCAAGTATTGGTTTTGTAGGGAATGTGTTGGAAGGTTTCATCATAAGCTGGAACCACTGGAAAACCAGCACTGGAGTACTGGACAACTGTTTCGTCTGAGGTTGGGACTCTTCAGCATTACGCACCCACCACCACGGTTCGAACCTAGGAATTTCTGGTTACAAGGCCAGTTCGTAGATCACTAGGCCACTATGACACGATCCAATGGCAGCCCATGAATTCGAATTTCTGTCAGTTCATGACCACTTCGCAATGTATTCTTTGATGAGTTATTGCCTCATCTTCAACCTGCTGTACCCTACTGGTCACGGGTTCCCACTAGAACCCAGGTTAACTGCCTGGGCTAGTCACTACTAAAGGCATCAGATTAATTTTCAAGTATCGGTTTTAAAAGGATTATGTTGGAAGGTTTCATCATGAGCTGACATCATTTAGAGAGAACCATTGGAAATCCTTGAGGAATTATTTCATTGCGATTCCCTAAGCAATACAATCTCATATACCGCGATAATTATTTGACTTCACTCAGTTGACTGCCATCGGTTTTTAGTTTATTAAGCGGTGAGTCACACTATGTACACGAGCACCATAAAACGAAAATCAAGTCAGCTAGCTCAGTAAAGCAAATCTTCCTTCAAAACGGATATCCACCAGGATATGTTGACAACAACAACAGGCCAAAAATTCAAAGACAATAGACGACATCCGTGCCATAAAAGGAATTTTACATCAACTTCAACTTAAAAGGTGACCCACTTAGTGATGTCCTTAAGAGAAGAATTCCGGCTTGTTTGATTGAGAAGAACTTTAATCAAACAGCAACGCTGAAAGTAGTGTTGTCCAGTCAGTCGTCCACTGGTCTATGGAAGCCCATAGGAAAAGATCTTACATCTGACACATCTATATGTGTATGCATATCAGTTCACCTGTAGTTGAGGTGCCCAGTATCCTGTCTAAAAGGGTCCAAGAACACTATTCCACGTGGTTGCAAAAAAGTGGTCGTGGCTCTATAAGGAGCGAGAAATAATCGATCGAACACCTTGTCAATACTGGTATCTCACTCAACAAACGCCGCATTCACAAAGTGGAGAACAACCTGCCAAAGGCAATACGCTTTCGTCTCCTTAGGCTATTCATTCAGACAGAAAAACCAGAGTTATGCACATACAAAAGCAAAATCGCTCAACCACCACTTCTACTATCATGGTAACAACCTTGTTGATTTCTACTGACTTCAGTCTTGTTTTTCCTAACTCCCTTCATATAACTCTTGCATTTCTTTAGAACTCTTACATAATTCCGTATTTTCTTTCGTTTCTATATGCAGCATAACCACAACTCCTCACTCATTAAATTATCTATCCATCATCTTATTACGTAACTTCAATACATTTATTCAACTCATTTTATGCATTAACTAACATTCAAACAACTATGTCTGTGAAAACGAATAACTTTTGTAACTACACTCTTTCATTGAAAAATGTATATTTTGATGTGGTACACAAACCAACAAAGTCACTTCACTCAATTCTATGTCAACCAAAAGACTCAACAGAGAAAGAAGACAAAACCAACATCATCTACAAAATAAATTGTAACAACAGCGAAAAACACTACATTGGCCAAAGTGGACACTGTCCCCTTTGTCTTCGTATCCACGAACATACGAGAGCCGTCAAAAGACATGATATCCACTCCCTCAATATCACTACATACAGACAACCACGGACATCAATTCGACTGGGACAACGTTTAAATATTAGACAGAGGAAACAACAAGAATGCTAGAGAATTTTTAGAAGCCAGTCTGGTATTCCAGTGAATAATCAGTCAATTGATACATCGAGATAGACAAAATTTATCAACCGATCAGAAAGAAACCTCACACACATACACACAAAGGGTCAAAGTTCAAGTCAAAGAAACAATCAATTCCAACACCACAAGTGGCTGCCTAGAAGGTGTGAAAACACACAAAAAGATCCAATCACGTCCAAGGTCCAGTCACCAGGAGAGATGATGAATAAACTCGTGGAGAAATAAATCTAAGAGCTCACTTCACTTCAACAAATTGAAGTATGTGCTGTGGTGAGTGGGTATGTTGCCTAGTGGTGGGGCGATGAAAGCTTCGCAAATTAACTATCCCGCTGCTCAGAGAACACAACCACATCAAAATCATCCACCTGAGCTACAAATCTTCTTTATCGTATCTAAAAATGTATATAAAATGCGAATGTACAGCTAAGGCAGAAAATAAATTCGTCGAAAAGATCCTTTGTGCTGAACAATTTATTGTTTTGTTTTCGTTAACATGCTTATCCAGCTGAGATGAGTCAATATACACCTCCAGGACATCCCCATTTGAAAAAAATCTTGATGATTCCAGGGATCTGACTGACTGGTTGATCACAAGTTGGTATCAGTTAAAGAACCAATGAAAATTCAGAGAAGATGAACTGGACAATCTCAAGAGAATCCTCGTCGAGAATTGTTACCCAGAACGATTTATTGAAAAATCTATGAATCCTAGACCACAAAAGCTGCCAATGCTTAGCGTCCCGAAGATGCCACTCTACATGAACCTTCAATTCAATGGAGATATATCTGCGGAAATACTAAAAAATCGACTGTTGCGATCAATCAAGAAGACCTTCTTCGCAGCTGAACTGCGACTAACTTTCTCCACAAAACCTATGATTCATGTGAACGTGAAGGATAAGCTACCACTGCTGGCCTCATCAATGTGTATTTATCAATTCACCTGCTCGTGTGGAGCCAGGTATGTCGGCCATACCCAGCGTTCGCTTTCTAAGCGTATCACCGAACACTTACCAACATGGCTTTACAAAGGAGAAAAACAATGCCCCCTCTCAAGCTCCATCTTAGAACATCTGATTGAATCCGGACACCACGCTACACCCGAAACAAACTTCAAAGTCGTCTACAGAGTAAGAAGTACTCTTCCTAAAGCTGTACGAATCACACTTCCTCAAACTGCATAAGCAATGGCAATTCACTTGCTAAGTCCTGAACCCTGCATATAGAAGTTCGTTCAATCGCTACACTTGCAATGGACGTAATCTATCTTATTATCCGACAAGTAAATTTTACCTAATCTTTTTCTTTTCTGTCTCTTCATTAGTATTATTTTGTCTTCTCAATTGTAATATTTTACACTTGCAACTTTCTTGTTCTCTACCCCCACCCGACTTAATTTCTACACCCACTACCACTGTTACTGACTTGAACAACGCCCAATTTCTAGTCATTTATTTTACGTCATCCAACTTATCTGCTCAATTTCAGTTCTAATTTAAATGACATTATTCTCTACCCCACTTCCACTTAAACTCTACCTGTAATTACTTCTGTTGCTACCCTGACCTAAGTTGAAACATTTTAGTCAATTATATTATGTCATCTAACTTACTAAATCAATCTTATTTTAGCTGCTATCCAATTAACCTTGTTTCTATATTAGATCATTCTTGTATTACCTGATTAATTATCTAAACTTGACAAACCTCATGTACACACACACACAAATAATTATATATAAATGCGATTGTACAGCTATGTGAATGAATTCGCCGTGGAAAAAGAGTCTCTTCGCTGAACAGTTTCTCTTTTTCATATGAAAATTCAAAGATTACTGCAACTGAGACTCTTCAGTAGCAGTAGGCATCCTTCGGAGTTCAAACCTACAACATTCCAGTTGCGAGGCGAGCTTATAGACCACTAGGCGCCAACCCATGAATTCTAAGTTCTGTCAATTCGCTGTATATTGTGCAGAACCACTAGTCAGTGCTATCAGTGAGTAACTAGTCTCCTAAGTCATACGGCGAACCGCGTTGGTCACAACTCACTCGGACTTTAGGTAACACCCTGTATACAGGCAGAGGCAGTTGCTAGTAAGCGCGTCAAATTGATTACAGGTGTAGTAGTCATGAGCTGAGAGAGACAAGCAGAGAGAACTATTAACAAACCAGACAGTCAGTACTTGACAACACTGTTTCGTCCTAATTCGGGACTCCTCATCCGCATAGCTATATGAATATATGAGGTTTATAAAAAGAAGTGTGCGATACTAACCCCTCCCACCCCCCCACCCTTAAGTCACTTTACCCCCAACACTAACATCGAACTCGATGAAGTTGAGATAGACGACACAGTGAAAACTACACACAAGTAATACATATTAATTCCTGTTTTTATTATTATTATTATTAGTAGTAGTATTATGCAAAAAATATATAATATATACCCAAAAACAAGAAATTACACAAATGCTTATTCTTTTAATCTGTGTCACAAAACCAAAAAAAATTATACACAATATGTATACAACAATATATGGAACGACACCTTCCTTATTATACGTACAATAATCTTTATATAGTAAAAAAAAGAAACCTTACAAAGCAGATTTAATGTGTATGTATGTATGTGTGTGTGGCGTTCCTGCCCCGCCCCCACACATACATATGGAAATGGAGAGAGAACGTAGGGGTTATGAGCGCCACCAACAACACCAGTGATAATAGTAATAATAATAATAATCTTCTAAATCACTTCAACATTAAACAATCAAAACAAGAAAAAAACAGCAACAACAAAACAAAACGGAAATTATATAAACGTTTAAAAAATATATATGAATAGGATTTATTTCAATTCGGTGTGGGTTCCGCTCCCTTTCTCTCTCTCTCTCTTTCAAGAAAGCGAATTCATACATAAAGTTCTTGCTGTTATATAAATGCAATCATCGCTATTATTATTATCATCGTCGTTATTGGACCTCTTCAGGAATATCTCTTGCACTAATCGTATTTTCTTTGTATCCGATAGAGAAGGACTACTACTACTATCCTCCTCAGATGGACGTTTACGACTGGTAACCTTATCATCGTTTATATTAGTATCAATGGTATTGATTACATGATCAGAGGTAGCACCACCAATAATAATAGTAGTAGTAGTAGTAGTGGTATCATCAATAGGCGATGGAGAAGTATTAGTATCGAATGTAATGTTGGGCGCTTCATCATCCCCATCACCATCAACATCGTCGTCATCATCATCATAAGGTACAATATTCGGGGTTGAAGTATTCTCTTCAATTGTTGTTCTTGATGTTGTCGGTGTTCCTTCTGGTTTAATTGTTAATTCAGCTTTCATTTCACACTTCAGCTCAACTTTAATTGGTTCAGAGGGCGTTATCAATACTACTTTATGATTATTCTTGTGATCATCGCCATTGTCTTCATCAGACGACGACGACACCGATGATGTCGTCACTGTAGCTTGAGTAGTAAATGAATCGTCGAATGTTGTCATTGCAGAATTAGTCAATTCTTTGGAATAAGCATAACTTGGTGTTGTCGGCGCTGTATTTTCATCTCCTCCTTCGCATCCGCCTTCTTCTATCATTTCTTCGTCGTCATCGTCTCCCTCCCCGTCCTCCGCCTCATCGTCCCTTGTTCTTCTTCTTCTTCCTTTTTATTATTATGATTATTGATAATAGGACAAGTTAGTGGAGGTGTAGAGTCGTCATCACCATCGTGATTTCTATCACCATGTTGTTCTTGCAGTTGACTATTATTCTTATTATTATCTTCATCAGTAACAGGAGTAACGGTGTTTTCAATTATTTCACTTTTTTTCGTTCTCACTTTTATATTACTCTCATCAACATTATTATCACCATTTATACTACTACAAAAAGTAGTCGTAGTAGTAGTAGTAATAGTATGCGCAGTTGCAGATATTAACACCGGTCTATGCTGTGGACCATTAATTTGCATACCAGTATGATCTGAGCATATCCATCGAACATTGAATACTAAGGAATTATCTTTCACGGAATTCCAACGTTCTTTATCTATACTGTCAACTTGTATACAATTTTCATCAGCATGTTTTAAACAATAAGAATTAGGACAACGCCAGCATAAATGAGTGGATGGCTTCCCACAGACATCACAATAATGCCATGGACAATACCATATACCTAATGGTGGTACTGATAAACCAAGACATCGGACATGATAGGCTTTAGAACAACTGGATTTATCGCATAATACTAACTGGCCACCATCTCCACATCTGTAATAAGTAAAAAAAAGAGAGAAATGAAGAAAAAGTTAATTGTTTTGTTCTTCTCAAGTACTGCTTTGCAGCGATTTGATGAAACGATTTCATCATGATCTGACACTGGTTAGAGTATCATTAGAAAACTACTACCAGGGAGTAATGGACAGCCAGCTACTTCCTCCCCTCGGTTTGGGACTCCTCATCAGCACGCCAGGGTTCAAATCCAGGATCTTCTGGTTACAAGGCTAGCTAGCTCGTAGACCATTGAACCACTGGGACCAGGCGCCGATCCAATTGGCAACCTATGAATTTCAACTTCTGCCAATTCACGACATAAAATAAGTTTTGATGTAGCAAAGTACGTTATGTGCGTTGGTGACACAGTAGTGGAATATTCGCCTACCACGCATGTGATCCGGGGTTCGGTCCCCGGCCCTATGTTCCACTGGGTACGTGAAGGAACAAAAATTAAGAAAGTACGTTATATAATTAGAAATTAATCGGTGGATGGTGACTACCAATGGAATCCGGGATAACACGCATTTCGTCCTATTTGGGACTCGCGCGCCAGCTGGATTCCACTGCTAGTCACCATCCACCAATCAAATTCTAATTACAAGCCCAGACATCGTCGAAGCATCTGGACAGGAAGCCAACAGATATGTTAACTGAGACCGAGCACTTCGGTCCAATTAGTCGACGGGAAAATCTAAAATTCAATTAAAGTACGTCATAGTCCGCTAACCATGCCATGTTAATAATAATAATAATAATAATATTCGCTTTATTCCAAAACAGTACTTGTGATACAGAATGGAATTTTTAACCAATAGGGTTTATCATCTGGAATAAATTAAATGCCCAGTCCATCTCCATTTTCTCCTACATACTTGTTGACAATCGGCTCTTGGTTGGTTTGTTATCAGTCAAAGATTCCCGTTACTAATTCTTTCAAGTCAGTTCTTCTACAAGGATCAGAAACTTGGCGGGGGGGGCACAAAGAATATTTCCAACAGCCTGTTGAAAACCTTTGTCAACAACTAACTGTCTTCGCTGGATCTATACTGAAGATCAGATGGCCGGGCCGGAAACAATCACCAACAAGAAACTATGGAAACAAACAAAACAAGAACAAACCAATCACCAACCAACACATATGCAGGAGAAAGTGGGAATGGATGGATTGGACTCTCACTCGCTGAGGAGGCGGCTGGGTGAAATCGCGCGCGCGTCAGGCCATTGCTCGAGTGGAACCAGGCCGAAAGGGAAGCATGTGGCGAATGGGACGTCAGTGCAAGGATGACACGGAGGACATTGTGTGAAGAGGAGTTGAAACAGTATGGACTAACATGGATGGATGCAGGTGAAAAGTGAAGCAGAAGACAGAAGCAAGTGGCGACGTGCAGCCGTATGTTCCACTAGGAACCCAAGGGAATAATAATAGACCTCGGGATGCCCAACTTGTTGTTTCATATCAGTGTTCTATTTGAAGGCCTGTCAAGTGGGGGCATTTCACTCAATGATCCTCTTTTCTCAGTATGAAAGTTGTAAAAAGAGCCGGAAAAAAAGAACTCAAGCAAAAAAATTTTTCTACATTCATCACAATTGTGTTGTTATTCCCCTTTATTTTTTACCTACCTGTAACAAAAATCTTCAGAAAGTGGTGGACCAAGACCAACAAGATAACTTAGTTGATCTGCATTATTTCTATTCACGGATGTTGCAGCAACACAGGCAGCTATTCCTGCCGGTTTTATTTGAGATAGATAACGACGACTACCACCGTGTGAACGTGAACGACGTGTAGACAGTGAGACAGCTGCTGATATAATTGGAGTGGCTGTTAGTTCTGCTTCTGGCAGTTCATATTTTGTTGGTGAAAAAGAATCCGCCTCATCAATTTTTTTGATAGATTTTCTTTTATCCGTTGATATGGGTGTTTGTGGAACAACAACAGCAGAAGCAGCAGCAGCAGGAGTATTGTAACCGACATTATTATCATCACCATTGACTATTTCTTCACTAGACAACTTAAATGAAGTTGGTAAACGCGGTGTACTAACACAAGTATCTGCACCGCATAAACACAGACTAGTGAAAGCCATTAGACCAGTTGATAGAAATTGATTAGTAATATAATTGATTGTCAGCTCTTCATTAGCTTTAATAGGTCGATTGGCGAAAAGTCCTAAAATTTATAAATTAAATGAAAAAGTGAAATAAATAACATTGTGGGAGAGAGGGGGGGTGGATTTAAGACAAAAAGAAACCGATAGCAAAAGTCAGCAGTGATGATGAGTGGCCTGCTCAGCGCTTGGACTATCAAAATCCTCCATCAATATACCGCATATAATTTCTCTTATTCAGTTTGTTCAAATATAGTAAATATATATAGTTACTATCGCCAATGATTTTCCTGATTGCAGTAGATTGGACAATGCGACAGACAGCGGCGAGCAATGAGGAAACAGGCATAAAATGGACCCTTATGAAAAACTTGGAGAATCTGACTTCGCCGATGATATATGTCTGATTTCCCACAAAAAACTGGAAGATATGCAAGTGAAAAGCAACAAGTTGGAGATAGAAGAAGCATCCAACGAAGATAGGACTTTAGGTGAACATAGAGAAAACAGAGGTGATGAAGATTACTGGGAAGCACCAACAGCAACAACAACAATCAGCCAGCATAAATGGGAGGAACCCACCTGGGAAGCATCGTTTCAACTACAGGCCAACAGAACTGACGAGGATATCAAAGCAATGACCGTCGGGAAAGCAAGACAAACTTTCATTACTCTCAAGTCTGTGTGGGGGTCAACAGCACTCAGCATTACAATGAAAATAAGATCCGGATTTTCAACTCCAATGTGAAGTCAGTGCTACTATACGATTGGATCAGAGACTTGGCGCGTCATAAAGAGCATCTCAAACAAACTACAGACCTTCATTAACAGTTGTCTTCGCTCAATACTCAAGATCAGATGGCCAGCCAGAAAAGATCAGCAACAGGGATCTATAGTAATGAGCGAACCAACCAGGAACCGATTGTGCAGCAAAAATGCAAGAAGAAATGGAGGTGGATTGGTCATACTCTGAGGAAACAAACCATCAAGTGACATCACTAGACAAGCCATCGCTCGAGTGGAACACGAAAGGGGAGCGGTGAGTTGATCGTCAGTGCGAGGGCGGGGTGACATGGAGGAGATCATGTGAAGAGATGAAAGCATGTGAGTAAACTTGGAGCCAGGTGAAGACTCTAGCAGGGAACCGAACGCAATGGAGACACGTGGCTGAAGCTCTGTGTTCCTCTAGGAATTAAAGGAAATACTACTACTACTAATAATAATGACCCTGATAGTACTGTTTACTCTGGTGAGTATTTAAAACATTTACAACCTGGTGATTCACAAGTTTCTAATCAACATGTGAACGAGTATTATCTTCAATGGCAGCTTATCCCAATGCATAAGAGATAAGTGTTCCTGAGTGGTGCCTTTGGTTCACAAAATGTACTTACTCCTGAACTTATGATCGCCATTCAACAAAATGTCGTCGTGTATTTCTCGAAGGAGACAAAGAAGACATCATAATGGTGGATTGGTTGGCGTTTGCTTCAGATCAGCTACAGCGCTATATCACACGATCTACTTAATGTCAATCAATCATTTATTTGAAGATCCTGAACAAAGAGAAGCTATCATGCAATAAACTCCGGTGAAAATCCTGTACATTATATACAAACAATGTTCTGAATAAAGCTGCTATTATTATCATTATTGTTAACTCATACATTGTCTGAAGCACTCGGCTTTCAAAACCAGCTTGATTTGTAATTTGAATACCACCCAACACTTACCCATGTTTGGCTCATAGCCTCGTGTACATGACAAAACCTATTCCGGATAAATAAGTCCAGTAGTGTGACTAAAGGATTTTTAAAAATTTCAACATCATATTGTGGCGAGAGCTGGCTGCTAGCCAAATCGGTAGACAGTAATTTTATGTCAATGTTTACATCCCCAATATTGGTCGTGAGAAAAATAAGAACAAAGACTGATTCAACAACCAATCACAGGAGTCTTAACGTAGGCGGATACAGTTAGCATATAGATTATCTGACTTTCAAGAATCAGCCACAAAAGATGAAAGATTAACGTTAAGCAAGAACCAACTTATCAGAAGACGACTGTGTTTTTCTGCTAACAATAGTCTATAATAATGTACATGAAAATATATATATATATATGTGTTGGTTTCCTTAATAAACGATTTGTTTCCTGGCCGATGTCTTCTGTTGTTACAATATCATCACAGTTAGATGAAACACGCTGGAAGTCCAGATGGCGTCTTCTGCCGACGAAATCCTAAGCTTTGGGAGATACCCAACATAACATAATAGGGAGAAAAGAACAAGGCATGCATAGCAAAGATGTCTTTTTTACGGAGATTCCGTTCTGAAAAGCAGCTCTATATAACAACCGCTTTTTTCATACATAACTTCATATAGTTATAATGGTTTTTTTAAATTCCGCATAACGAATGGAGATGAAAGACGATAATTAGTTTTCAACTTGATATGGAAGTTTGAATGTATGTATGTAGATCAGATGACGCAACATCATCGAACAAAGCATGGAATGGCAATCAAACCTCTACCTTAACTTTATAGACTTTGAGAAGGCCTTTGACAGCGTTGACCGCGAAGTTATTTGGAAACTAATCGAATACTACGGTGTACCCAAATATTAATCAACCCCATTCAACAAATGTACGACAACGGCACATGTCAAGTGATCCACAACGGAAAACTCAGTGAGGCATTTGGAGTAAACACAGCAGTCAGACAAGGGTGCTGGCTTATTATCACCAATGATATTCCTAATTGTGGTGGACTGACTGGATTATGCGTCAGACAGTGGGAAACGAGAAGACAGGGAAGGATATCCTGGACCGACGTGAAGAACCTAGAAGACCTGGATTTCGCACGTGGATGATTTATGTTTGATGTCACACAAAATCGAAGACTTACAAGCGAAAACCGACCGACAAACTGGTAGAAGAAGCAGCTGGCGAAGACAGGACTCTATGTGAACATAGACAGGACGGAGGTTATGAAATAACCAACAACAACAACAGCGACATCCAGCGGTAATCACCATCAACGGGAGGGGATTTGAAAGAGGTTAGTTACTTCATTCACTTATCTAGGGAGCATTGTCTCAACTACAGGAGGGAACGGACGAGGATGTCAAATCGAGCGAGAATCGGGAAGGCGAGCGAGAAACACATTCATCAACATGAAGCCACCAATCTGGAAATCTTCGTCACTCAACTCAGCATCAACAACAAAATTCGGTCGGATTTTCAATACAAACGTCAAGTCAGCCAGCTCTTCTATACGGATCAGAAACTTGGCGGGCGGGTCACAAAGAATATTTCCAACAGCCTGTTGCAAACCTTTATCAACAACTAATTGTCTTCGCTGGATCTATACTGAAGATCAGATGGCCGGGCTGGACAGAATCACCGACAAGAAACTATGGGAACAAACAAGCAAAACAAGAACAAACCAATCGCCAACCAACAAATATGCAGGAGAAAGTGGAGATGGATGGATTGGACTCTCACTCGCTGAGGAGGCGGCTGGGTGAAATCGCCCGAGTCAGGCCATTTCTCGAGTGGAACCAGGCCGAAAGGGAAGCACGCGGCGAGTGGGACGTCAGTGCAAGGGTGACATGGAGGAGATCGTGTGAAGAGGAGTTGAAACAGTATGGACTAACATGGATGAATGCAGGTGAAAAGTACAGCAGAAGACAGAAGTGGCAAGTGGAGACGTTCAGTTGAAGCCCTATGTTCCACTAGGAATCCAAGGGAACAATAATAAAATAATAATAATGTAGATCAGATCAGCAAAGGGTACAGAAACAAAATTACATGGGATTAAAAAAAACACCAGCATAATATGCAAAAGTTTTTTTTTACAAAGAACAGGTGCGAACAGGATGAGCATGAAAATAAATCGAAATAATAATAATAATAGTTTTGATAACCGAAGATGAAAAAAAGGATAAACAAACGGAAACTAATAAATCATCAAACAGAACCAACTAACTAGATCCATGATTAGAGGTGGAGAGGTTGTACTGGTTTCTTTTGAATACATAGATAACTCCAGCTTTCCAATGCAATACATTTTTCTGATTGGTTGATTTATTTTATTTTTGATTACAGCTTGATTCCACACTGTATTTTTGGTACAAGTATGGAATTTTCAGCATGGATATCGGTAGCCCAAATTTTGCAGGCCGACCATAGATATCAGGTGTGCATCGGCGGAGGCTCGAACCTCGGACCATGTGCATGGTCGGCGAGAGTCCTAACCACTGTGCCACCGACGCACGATTGACCCAAGGTTAAACAAAGTTGTCAAATGAGATTACACTATGACTACAACGTAAAAACTAAATATCCGGATTTTTTGATTGGACACTAGTTACTACTAGTGTGATGTGTCTAGTCCTTTCTTCGATGCAGACTGAATTCTATCGGGCAGGTTTGTAATGTGGCCATCATCAGGCTAGGTTAGCTGGTCATCACGGTGCACATTGATTTGACGGTATTAGATGGTTGGAGGCAATCGGCCACAGGAAGCCTTGGATATAGGTTTCGTGCTAGTTGGCACTCACGAGTCAGCAAGGCATATCTGCAACCTTGAAAGAACTCACGTCCCATTACAAACCTGACTGATAGAATTCAGTCGGCAGCGAAGAAAGGACTAGTCACATCACACTAGTTACTAGTGTTCAATCAAAATATCCACAATAGTCCTACAGGAGGTCAATCGCCAGCTCGAATAGCTCAGTGGTAACGTCTCTGACTGCAGCTCCACTGGGTGACGGGGGTTCGAATCTCAGAAGGAGGGACATGAGTTCCTTCAAGGTTGCAGATACGCCTTGCTGACTGGTGAGTGCCAACTAGCACGAAACCTAGGTCAACCAAGGCTTCCTGTGACCGATTGCCTCTAACTCTCTAATATATCCAGATTTGAGGAATAAACATGCCTATCCCTGTGCAGCTAGTGACTTAAACGGTTGGTTTCAGCTTTGGCCACCTCATAACAATCTGCACATGCACCACAATGACTCAGTTACTTTCTAATCCCGTGTAATTTTATTTCAATGCCCCTTAATGATCTTATTCACATCTTTAAACTTTAACATCAAATTGAAATTTTTTTTCCTACCACTTCTAATCTCCCTTTGTTATTGTGTTGAAATCCCAAATCTCGCCTAGTCCGTGAGTAGGTGAAGGAAAGAAGAAAGGTCAGTATGCAGTGTGAGGGGCCCACCACCACCCCATACAAACCACAAACAACAATATCCTCAGCTCTACTGAAAATTCAAAGCTTGGAGTCCTACTTTCCACTCAAAGGCAAAAAAAAGGAGAAGAATGGAAAAGACTACTTACCAAGTCGTGGATGTCCATCAACTATCCAACATTCAGCGTATAAATTTGGTTCACATGCATGATTAATAAATCTGCTTAAACTGCCTTGATTTTTAGCGTCTAATATTAAATCCATACGTGGACTAAGCCGTGCTAGGTAAGTTTCACTGACTGGATGAAAATCTTTACGTGATGAAGTTATACTGGACAAGGCATTGTGTCCACCGAGAGCGTCTAAAATTCGACGATTCGCTTCGGATACGTCAATGACTTCACCGGTATATTCGGTAACTAAATCGCCCTTTTAAGAGGGAAGAAGGAAAGAGGGTAGAAGAGAAAAAGGGTGTTCAATGAAATTATTTAAAACAAATTTTTATGCGGATTTTTCAAGCCTTTAAAAAACGATATTCTGAATAGCTAGTGAAAACAATGCCGAAAAGGATAACTGACACAAGAATCAAGTTGTTCAATCCAAGATATGGAATTAGTACATGAAGTCTCTGATCGTTGATTTGATGTATGTAGGAAGGTGAAGACTGTCCGTCTTGAGGTTCTCAAGACGCTTAGAAATAATGACTAGAGACAGTTGGTAACAGTTCAGAGTGGTTGTCAATAGCACAAAAACATTCACTCATTTGGAGCTTCCAGATCTTCCAAGTCCTAATGCTTTTTTTCTATGCTACTATTCTTTCTTTCTCACACATATTTCCAGTCAGTATAGTTTTCATGAGTCTGTTTCTCTCCTTTGATTCAGAGCGGGGATGGTCACTTGAAATGGTGCACTTCTGCGCAAAGTTCTACGTTGAAACTCAGTCAGTCAGTCAGTAATTCTGGAACATAGGCATACCTACCGATGTCCAATGATCGTTATATTTCTTGACTTAAAGCGGAATTCCATTCTGTCGACTGAGAGGTACTATAGCTATGCCTAGCTGTAAAGGGAATTCCGAGAAAAATACATTGCACTGATTAAGGCACTCACTCTACTCGTTCTCATGCAGCCAAGCAGGCAGGTGAGAGCTTACGGCGAGTTGCCATCTGCACTGGTGACAATTAGTGGTATCCGACAGGGATGCTAGCCATTATCGTCATTTCTATTCAATTCCATCATGGATGTACTAATGGAATTAACTCTAACTGCTGAATTCAGCGACTCAGGGATTGACTCGTTACCACCGAGGAATAATCTCGTTGACTTAGAATATGTAGATGATATAGTCCTCCCTCCTAGGTGATGTGAAGACGATGACAAAATTCAGAGTCTTTTGAATACCTTGGGCTGCAATCTGCGAGTGTTTGGCATACGACTCGCTCCCGCCAAATGTAAGATGGTGTTACAGGACTGAACTACACTGACTCATTCCTAGCTTAGAAATAGGGAGTGAAGTAGTTGGTGGAAAGTGTTGACCACTGACGAGATCTCAGCCTTGACACAGAAGGCTCATTTCGCATATGTCAGTTTACGCCACCTCTGGCGTAGACGTGATACCCGGCTGGCTGTTGACCAAAGAGCGTGTGTACTGCTCAGCAGTCCGCACCTTCCTCCTTAATGACTGCAAGTGAGACCTGGCTATTGAAAGTGGAAGACATGAAAAAGCTATCTGTCGTCTTTGATCATAGGTGCAAAATAGAAACAGTAAACAGAGAAACCAGGCAAAAAGAATAGTAATATCAAAAAACAATATAATTTTATTGGGTATCATAAGTTACAAGGAGTGGATGCATCGGAGGCAGCCAGCCAGCCATTGAGAACGATCACTTTGAGCCATTTCACCAACCAGGAAGTCTACACCTCCCGACATGGCTTAAACGGACTGTTATAGATTTCGTTGATTGATGAGGTCATGTTTTGGTTTGACCACACCACTGTTTCTTTTCCAACCTGACCACCTTATGTCATGTCAGCTAACAAAATACGCGTTGTGTTAAGTGTAAAATGACATTGTGGAACTGCCACGCATCTCAAGTCCTAGTTTAAGCACACACAGTTAAAGTGGTCACTTATGTTAACCACTACTGGCTAGTTAGCTGCTAATAAAAATCTTGAGATAAGAAAGCAACAAGCTTAAGTAGTTTGAATCACTCTCTGCTACCAGTGAATGAGTGTGTTCATTCTATTTTTTAGTCAAATTAACATATTAATAAGGTCACTTAGAGGAACACTGAAAAAAACCCAGAAAGTAATGAACAACACTCTCTCCTTTCAGTGTGGGATCGACCACATGAGGCATAGAACGCAGGACCTATTAAAGTACTCACTGGTTTGGAATTAAATGACACACACATGCCAACTTCTGTTACACTTTGTGGCATAGCACCAACGTCATTCAGTGTAATCATCATCAGCGAGTATCTGGATCTTGAAGCTAACTTGTTGTTGGTGGCCCCATACAGTATACCACAACCACCAGCGAATGATGGGACTCGAACTTAGAATCAGTTTATTATTGTATTGAATTCCCGCTTTTAGCTTAAGTTGACCAAATTAACCAGAGGTGAAGAGGATCATAAATGGAAACTATAAAGAATAGCAGCCCAAACCGAAACTACCTAGCGAACGGACAAATGACCTTGACAAGGACAACTTCGAACAATCAGCAGGCTCCAAAAATCGGCGCATAATTGTAATAAGTCGTTTATATATAAGGAATGAAATGTTAAAAAATAGTTACAAAGTACAACGTTTTCTTATATGTTGCAAAAAAATCTCCCAATTTCTCATAGGAGTCTTGATTCTCATGTTAAACGAAGTCCTGTAGATAAACTCATCGACATAACTGTATATTATTGCACTTCTTGATCCATTCACAGATCTGATACGTTTTTTAGAAGACTCCAGAAAATTTCAATGAAATTAGTGCGAGTTCCATCAAAAGGATTGAGAAAACCATTTGTATGGTTGACCACTTGATGAATATAGCCCAGATTCGATAACTAACTGTAACTACTCCATTCATCAGTATAAATAGTCGTCCCAGGCAGTACTAAGCGCTGGATAATAGGCAATAATACACCTGCACTGCGATTAGGGATCGCCTCAATATATTGCTGATTCACACTCAATCTCTTCTATTGTATTTTCTTATCAAAAGTACCTAAGGAATCTGTAAATTATAAACGAATGACACAGGTTCTCGAACAGTCCGTTCTCCAAGCAGTAATCAAAACAAGATCCGGAGCGAATTTGCAAGGCAAAAGGTGTAGAGCATCCATAATTACCTCTGGAAATAACGAGTCACCTCATTCCTTGCTCAAGGTCACTTGTGCGTTCAAAGGTCGTTTCGGTTTGGGCTGTTATTCTTTAGAGTTGCCTCATAAATTGCGTTTAATGGGTAAAAAGATATTATTATTATTATTATTGATTCACAAATGTGTAACTAACTCACTTTTTTAAATGACATTAAAGACTTTAAACCATATCCACGATTAACAGTACGCATAACACTAAATATATTCTTATGTCTATCGGTAGACATTGAATTCAGTTGGGCAAATCGTCGATTCCCGCAATTTACACTGTCTGGAAATGAACAAATCTTTGAGGTGCATTCATATTTGTTCAAGAAATGATGACATTGATGACTAGTTGAGCATGAGACTTTGTTTGAATTGTCATAAAATTCATCATCATCACCATCATCATGATTATCGTCATCTCCAGCACCCAGTTTAGAAGAAGATTTACACGAGCATACAGGAAGTGATTCATACACTGTTTTTATATCTTCAAGCTAAAGAGAGAAAAAAAGAAGACAAGTAAAGAGAAAAATAAAAGGACTGAAAAAACAGAAAAATTAGGTATGTCACCCCGTTGAGTATTCCATTGCCTATATTTCCAATAGAGTATTTGTCTGTCTGTTTTCGACATAGAACATTGCACATATGTGGACCAGTTCAAGTCGCCACACTCCCTCCATGTAGCACACAAAGCAAGAGAAGAAAGTAGAAGAAATCCATAATAGAGATAGTAAACAGAGGTGTGAGACAAAAGGAATAGTAATAACGAAGAACAATAAAGTTTTATTGGATATTATAAGTCACAAGGAGTGGATGCATCTTCAGCAGTCATTGAGAACGATCACTTTGAGCCATATCACCAATTGTTTCCAGCCTTCATTGGTTTTTACCGTCCCGAGGACCCCAAACAGTCAGGAAGTCTACACCTTCCTACATGGCTGGCCCAAACTAACTGTTGTAGATTTCATTGACTCGTGAGTCCATGTTTTGGTTTGACCACCACTAACCAGCTCTTTTCCAGCCTGACCCTATGTCAGCTAATATTGCCCGTTATCGAGGAAGGTGATGACTATGCAGGTATGCGTAACACATGTCCTAACCATCTCAGTCGATTTAATTCCACAGTCTCATCGATTGACTTCCCTCCTTACCTAGCACTTGACGGAAGCCTAAACTCAATATTGCTCACCTTAGTACACCACTTCACACGGGAGACAAAGTATTTAAAAAATCAATACACATTTAAAAGGTAGAAATTGTGTGAGAATAAATTAATTTAATTTCCCAAGGATAACACGTAATTAAAGATGAAGTGGTCAGAAAAAATAATAAAATAATTTGGACAATTATAATTTTTAAGGGTTTAAAGGGAGGGGGACGAAGTAGTCTGGTTTATACATTCATGTAACGATGGCCAAGGTAAGGAAAGTGGCTGTACAAATTTCTTCTGAACACACACATAGGTTTGGCTTCTTCTTCAGGTGGATTCCTATTGCTTCAGCTGTAGGTATGCATGTAGAAGACGAACTCGTAGAGAAAAATTAAGATTAGTAGGAATGCGACAAATAATTTTAAATGCAGTATTAACGTCAACCTTATGCTCACTGAGTGTCTACAAGGTGTGCTAAAATAGGGCTACGGATAGATCTTGTTTGTCCCTTGTTTAACCATGCTGCAGGATGATGTTCGGAAACACGATGATGAACCTGCCTAATTGTACGCCCCCGATGTAGCTGGCTCTAAGCTGAAGTCAAACTGGTAGATACATATAAAAGAGGCAAATTTAGGTAGTTTATCCTTATTTCTAGAACGTAGAATAGCGGTGTTTGTGAAGAAACAACGTACCTCTGCTGCATAATAAGCTCTTTTAACTGCATTCTTCAGGCGCTGTCATTATTTCGCTGATATTGTCACCGAGGAAATGCAATTTTATGAACATTAGTTTTTTGGGAACTGTTGCCATACTGACTCTCCTAGCTGCTGAATTCATACTTTTCTCAATGAACTTATCTGGCAAGTATTTTTTCTATGTAATTCTCTAATAATCTTATGCTCCTCATTGAGGCAGTCGTCCGAACAGGTTAGCCTAGCTCTATGAACCAGACACTTTACCAGGTTACGTTTATATTTCAAAGGTACAAAACTCAAAAATGTTTAAATGGGGATTTTTTCTATATTTAGAAAAGCCTCAACTACATGACTACAAGTGCATGTCTGTATTCCACTATGTATGACAGAGGTACAGGACATCAGAAGTGCAGTTATGTGGGTAGGCGTATAGCTGAGTTAATGGAAAGAGTTCAGCTTTAGACATCCAAAAGGCGCAGATACAACAATGCCCATGGAAAGACCAATTGTGCTAAAAAAAAACAAAACAAATTTGATCTCCTAACAGAAACCTCACCCAAATCTATTCCCAGGTAACTCTAATATCTAGGTTATGTGATTTGTGAGCATTTGGAAAACCAGGCTTTCAATGATCTCTCTCTGAATAAATCTGCTGAAGAAGCTGGCTGTGGCTTACACAACAAGACGTTCAGAAAAACCTCTGATTTGATTTTTTTCTTAAACACGCCGGGATTAATTTGAATAATTTATAATGAATCAATCTGACTCGACACTCAAATTATTCCAGGAAGTTCGTAACACCTACGATCTGGAAACTTACAAGCTTCTTTAGTCGCGTCGGTGGCACAGTGGTTAGAACTCTCGCCGACCATGCAAATGGTCCATGGTTCGATCCCCTGCCGACGAACACCTGATATCTATGGTCGGCCTGCAAAATTTGGGCTACTGATATCGCATGCTGAAAATTCCACACTCCTACCAAAAATACAGTGTGGAATCAAGCTGTAATCAAAAATAAAAAAATCTAAATAACCTTGTTTCTGCATTAGGTCATTCTTCTATTACCTGATTAATTATCCAAACTTGACAAACCCCATATATATATATATATATATATATATATATATATATACAAAAGTAATTATTATATAATTGTGATTGTACAGTGCTATGTGAATGAATTCACCGTCGAAAAGTTTCTTTGCTGAACGTCTTCTCTTTTTCCCAATTATGGATAAGATTTTATTTTGATAAGTCACACAGTGTTACACGGTAATACTAAATGATGACCGCGTTTTGAGCACAAATTATTGCTACTCATAATCATATTAAGTTACTCACACAACTTTTTCCTTCATGACTCGGTGGACCCAATTAAACGAAATAATATAATTTACAAAATACCCTGCAATGGCTGTGAGTTAGGTCAACTATATAGGTCAAACTAGTAGATCAGGGGTAATCGATTGGCGGAACATTAGAATTTAGCTAAGGTAAGAATAGTTGACCCTGAGAAGATGAGTGATTTAGAAAAAAGCTCGGCAATTGCATTACATGCATCAACACACAACCACACAATAAGGCGGGTGGGAGAGGGTTAAAATTCTAAAAAGTAATCTATGTAGGTGGAGATAGAGAGAGATTGATTACTGAATCCTGCCTGGTTCATCGAGTCTACACCCAACTCAACACATGCAACAGAAATGACTCAATGCAAATACCAGAGATATGTATGGAAGATATCATTACCACAAGTCAGTCAAATCAGAGGAGGATAATAAATAATCTCAAAATTCTATTTCAATTCACGTACATCACAACATTCTAAACAAGTAACTTATTAATATGACTATAAAAACACTTGTCTTATTTCCCATCTGATTGTAATTGATCAATAACACTCATATTTTCTATAGTTTGGTTTGTAAGGGTTAGTTATGTTTTTACGACTTGATCACGGATTGATATCAGTTAGAGAACTATTGAAAACCAGGGAGTACTGGACACTGCTGTTTCATTCTATTTTGGGAGTCATCGGCAGTACGTACCCACTGAGATTCGAACCCAGTACCTTCCGGTTACAAGGCAAGCTAGCTCGTATACCATTCAGCCACTAGGACCCAATTCAATGGGCCCATGAATTCTAACTTCTTCCGATTCGTGATTTAGCGCAACCGGAAAGTTCTGGGTTCGAATCCCAGTGGATGCGTACTACCGATGATTCGCAAAATAGAATGAAACAGCAGCTGTCCAGTACTCCCCGGTTTTCAATGGTTCTCTAACTGATATCAATCCATGATTATCTCGTAGAAACACTCATATTATCATTATTATTATTTCTGAATGTACATTATCACATATTGATTTTTATTTTACTATCTAATCGATTCCACACATGTATATAAATGAAAGAACAAAGTTGTGTGAGTGAGTGACTTGATATGATTATGAGTGGCAATAATTTGTGCTCAAAAGGCAGTCATCAGTTAATATTACTATATACCATCACTGTGTGACACTTTATCAAAATAAAATCTTATCCATAATGGAGTTATATTCTACCACCACAGTTTTGTACTTTTGAGAGAAGCCACTGTACAAACTCTGTGTTGTTATTGTCGCTTTACTCAAACACCAGTTTAAGTTAGAAGAAAAACAAAAAGGAGAATAAGAGACCAAATACAGAAAGCTGAGAAGTAGTCATACTCAAAAAAATTCAAGCATCACAACTTAAATTGGTAGACTTTTCAAACAGACAACACACTTATATTAATGTATTAATAGGCGTGTATATACACACACATACATACACACACACACAAGATTACAGTTCTTCTCATGAACATTACACATAGCATAGAGATACAACAAGAGCATGAATAACTCAAAGATAATAAGAGCAATAAATAACAACCATATTATATAAAGAAGTACTTACTTTTAATAAACATTCATTAGAATAAGTATTACTTTTAATTAGTGTAATACTCTTTAGGACACTTGCTAATTGATTATCTTCTTCTTTTGTATTTCCTTTCAAATTGATTTTTGAACGTATATTGAATGCCTCTAAGGGGAGTAATTCATTCTCGGGTAATTGTTCAGCATGCATTGATTTCAATGGTAAACCACGGCGTAGGACATGATTCACATAGATTGCATGGGCTTTCGGGGCACGATGTAATGCTATGTTGTTGTTGTTGTTTTTTTGTCAAATATACGATACATGAAGTAATAAAAATAATAAAATGGAATTAGAAAATGTAGATTATAGATTTGTATAATCAGTGATAATAATAATAATAATAATTAGACGTTAATTGGTGGATGATAGTGACAGATTAGCAGTGGAATCCAGGATAACGCGCTTTTCGCCTGTCTGTCTGTTTTCAACATAGAACATTGCACTGATGTGCACAAGTTCAAGCCGCCACACTCCCTCCATGTAGCACACAAAGCAAGAGAAGAAAGTAGAAGAAATGTATAATAGAGACAATAAACAGAGGTGTGAGACAAACGAATAGTAATAACGAACATTATAGTTTCATTGGAAATCATAAGTCAGAAGGAGTGGATGCATCTGCGCCAGTTAATGGGAACGATTTTGAGCCATATCTTCAATTGTTTCCATCCCTCATTGGTATTTTCCGTCCCGAAGACCTCAACTAGTCAGGAAACCTACAACCTCCTACGTAACTTACAGTACTGTTGTGGATTTCATTAACTGGTGCAGCCATGTTTTGCTTTGACCGCCGCTAGCTCTTTTGCAGCTTGACCCTGTATCAGCTAACATTGCCCGTTGGGCGAGGAAGGCGATGACTAGGCATACGTAACATATGTCCTAACCATCTCAGTCGATGTAATTTCACAACCTCGTCTATTGATTTCCTCTCCTTACCTAGAACTCGACCAAAGTCTAACCTCAATATTGCTCACCTTATTATACCACTTCATACGGGAGATAGAGTGCAGGCACTTATGATCAAAGACAGCTAATCTTTTCATGTCTTCCACTTTCAATGGCCAGGTCTCACAGACATAAAGGAGGAGGAAGCGGACTGATGAGCAGTACACCCGCATTTCGCCTGTCCTATTTGGGACTCGTCCGCCCGCCAGCTGGATGTACCTGCATACCTCAGTGAGAGTGGTGGATATGTTCCCACCACCGAGGCTCGAACCCAGTGTCCATACTTTCAAACACCGCCAAAGCGTTCGTTATCCACGAGGCCATAACTGGGACACGAGAGTCACCTCTTGAATTGAATAATAATCTCTCACTGGCGTTTCACCATCAAGTGTCAATATTAGCAGTGAATAGCGGTGGATAGGGTTCACTACTCGGAATGCCACCGAAGGTCGTTGTGTCCAGTAAAGCTGCGAAGAAGGTTCCAATGAAGGTGAAGGTGCCAAAGGTTGATAAGAAGAAGAAGAAGAAGAAGCACAAGAGGAAGGAGAGCTATGCTATCTACATATACAAAGTTGTCTGTCAAGTACATTCAGACACTGGTATTTTTTCCAAGGCAATGTCAATTATGAACTCCTTCGTAAATGACATCTTCGAAAGAATTGAAGCTGAAGCCATCATTTATATGTATTACCTTCCTTCCGTGTTATTTTTATTCGTCAAAACAACAATGTGAGTCATCCTAATAATGTAGATAATAGGCCCACCCACTATTAATACTAGTATTTGGTAATGTGGTTTCACTTTTCTTATTGGTGGTTATTGCCTTTACTTCCATTTTGAACGCCATCTGTTGTATGTAAGCGAAAGTATATTCTCTCTCTCTCTCCACACACACACAACATTATAAATACTTTACAAATGAACATATGAGATATTATCGATCAAACTACCTGAGCAGCTGTGAATAGGGCCGAAAAGTGTGATTTCCCCCCTCCCCCGCCTCTTTATCTTCTTCACCCTGTCTCCCTACTATTTAATCACGTGATGGCGATTGCGTGTATGACTGAATCACTGTATTGTTGTACTCTTGGAGGGACACACACGTAAACGAGAGAGAGAGACTACGGTGACACATTTGAGATATGTATGACTGGTTGTCCTCAATCTAGGATTATACTATATATATTGTAATACTAACAATATAATATATACAAAAGATTACTAACACTACGAAAAAAAATCGTATTGATTTTTTGTGCTTGATGATACTATTAAGGTCAAAACAAAAATAATAGGGCAGAAATTACAATCAAATATTACTAGTGTGACTAATTCAATTGTTGTATATAGGATTTCATCATGAGCTGACATTAGCTAGAGAACCATTGGAAAACCAACCAGGGAGTACTGGACAGCTGTTTTGTCACCTTACTCTGGGACTCTTAAGCAGTACGCGCCCACCAGGGTTCGAACTTAGGACCTGCTGGTTACAAGGCGAGCAGCTCGTAGACCATTAAACCACTGGGACCCGATCTCATACTCACTAGCGACTGGCCCCATTCAGGGACTTAACCTAAGGTTCTAGTAGAAGGCCGTGACCAGTAGGGTACAGCAGGTTGAAGGTGTGACAGAAACTCATCGAAGAAGACACTGCGCAATGGTCGCGCTATGTCATCAATTTGCAGAAGTTAGACTTCATAGGCTGGTCACTGGACCGCGTCCCAGTGGCCCAATGGTCTATAAGCTTTCAAGCCTGAGTTGGTTAGTATTGCTGAAGAGTCCCAGACCAGGACAAAACAGCTGTCCAGTACTCTAATGCTGGTTTTCCAATGGTTCTCTAACTGATATCGGCTCATGATGAAATCATATATCCAATCAAACAAAATCCCTACAAAACCAATATTTGAGAATAAAAAATACTTAACTGACCAGGTCAATAGATAGATTAGGGCGGTGGAAAGCTAAGAGGAGTTGACATAAGTGCCAAAAGTAGCATAATAGTGTGTGCGTATACACATAAAACAAAAAAATACATTTATGGGCTCTACTTGCACTGGAATTTATGGCCACTAGATAAAATCAGTGAATAGAATTTATTATTATAACAAAGTGCATTAGGGACATAATTAAGTGCATAGTCGATTTAATTCTACAACATTTGAAGAAACGTGCACATACTACTACTACTACGACTACTCTAAGTAGTAGTGATGAATGTTCAAAAGAAGGCTTGAACATGAAGATAAAAATTACAAAAGCAATAAAATAAAGTTAGTTGTTTGATGGAAAGAGTCTACACATGAGATAGTTCTAATGTAAATTTCTTCAGAGAAGCAATATCCCAATATCAGAGATCAGTGAAAACTGGACATCAGACCTAGTTTGCAACTTTTTCTAACAGTACGCACACACATAGTTTGAACCTGCAACCTTCAGATTATGAAGCCCCCGATTTCGTTGATCATTCTGACAACAACATTTGCCTTAGCCATGTCTAGATACTGAAGATCAAATGACCGGTAGAAAAGGATATATTATGCAACAAGGAATTCTAGGTAAAAGAATAAAAATTGTGCACCTCATGAAGAGTTCACAATTCTCTTCAAGTTTGCTGAAGCCATCTGCATCAAGCGCCTGAAACCTGATTTATGCGTTCAACAAAGAAGCAGTTATCAGTCTTTCATTGCCCTAGTAACTATATATATTTCACCTCTCTTTCATCTGAATGCGAAATGCTGAAAAGCTTCCATTGTGTATGATTATTATTGTTCGGAATAGTGTTTAATATTATATATATATATATATATATATATATATATATATATATCATCCAACATGGTTAAGCAAGGGACAAACAAGATCTATTCTTAGCTCTATTGTAGCACACGTTGTAGACAGATAGTCAGCATAAGGTTGACGTTAATACTGCATTTAAAATTATTTATCGCATTCCTACTAATCTTAATTTTGCTCTACATATACCTACAGCTGAAGCAATAGGAATCCACCTGTGGAAGAAGCCAAACCTGTGTGTGTGTGTTCAGAAGAAATTTGAACAGCCACTTTCCTTACCTTGTCCATCGTTAAATGAATGTATAAACCGGACTACTTCGCCCCCTCCCCTAAACTTTTAAACCCTTAAAAATTATAATTGTCCAAATTATTTTATTATTTTTTCTGACCACTTCATCTTTAATTACGTGTTATCCTTGTAAAATTAAATTAATTTATTCTCACACAATTTCTACCTTTGAAATGTGTATTGATTTTCTTCGTTAATTATCACCCCACTGCTTGACATTTTGACACTGACTTATTATTGTTAACAAATATATCAGTGCCACTTGACTGGTAAACTGTTATGTTTATTGTACTAAAAATGCTATACGTGTATATTAGAGTCGAGCCAGAGATGAGGATCTAATTGAAAAGTAACGAATATTTCTTCGCTCAATCTTTCTGTTTTCTAAATCTAGGACAAGCTACAAAACGTTATTTCAAAACAAACCATACCTCCCTTTATGGATTCGGTGAATGAGTTAAATGAAGACCGAGAATTTAATTACTATATGTCCATAATGGATTATTTAGAGTCATAGACTTGTGTGTGTGTGTGTGAAGAGAGAGGGGAAGGCAGGGTGGTTGAGTATTACAATAAGGCAACACAACCTTGTGGGAGAGATAAATAGTGCCAAACACGCAATTCATGCTATAAGAGAGAGAATCCGTTCGTCAGGGTAGGTAAAGTATTCTTTTTCGCTAGTTCCATAAGTACGTTTTCCATCAAATCTAAACTTTCTTTGTCAGATTATTCTATGGTTCATGTATTATTGGATTTTGCAAAGGCCTGCAGTAGGGGGGGCAGCAGTGAAGTGGGGAAAACACACCTCATCTTTACAGCACAATGGTATCAACTTCGTAGGGCACTTAGCATTATGGAAGCTAGAAAGGATTACCGCTAGTCTCAAAGCAATAGCAATTACCATTCATCGTGGTAAAGAAGTATAACACTACCGGCTGAGTCATCGACTTGAAATCTGATCTACAAGTCAGTGGAGCAGCAATATAACCTACGTTCCCATGGTTTTCGGTGACGAAAACAGGTACACATACACCAAGTAGATCCTTTCGTATTTTGCAGCCCATGTGTGTACACCATAAGTTTGGAATCCGAGTTTTTCAGCTCACACCTAGGTAAACCATCATGTCCAACAATCCGTTTGTAAGCGCCAGACGTTGGCATTCCCTCTTTCAAATTAACCGATTAACTTGTGTAGGCGTGACACATCTTAGCTTTTTAAGCACTTTTAAACTCCCAATCTTAACTAAGACTTTATTTAGCCTTGCGGGGCAACTACTGGTTAGGAGTATGAACTCCTTACACAGAATCACCGTTGCTCACATAGAGTCTAGTGAATGAGAAATTTATACCGTGTAACTATATTTAGTTAAATCTTAAAGTGAAGACACTTTTAATTGTGGTTAGAGCTGGCTGCTAACCAAATTGGTAGACAGTAGTTTACGTCCCCAATATTGGTCGTGAGAAAAATAAGAACAAAGACTGATTCAACAACCAACCACAGCAGACTTTGTGTAGGCGGGTACAATTTGCAGATAAATAATCTGAATTTCAAGAAATGGCCACAAAGAGAAGAAAGATTAACTTTCAGTGAGAGACAACCAATAAGAAGACAATTGTGTTTTTCTGCTAACAATAATCTATAATAACGTACATGGAAATCTATAAATATGTGTTGATTTCCTTAATAAACGATCTGTTTCCTGGCCGTTGTCTTCTGTTGTTACATAATTACCAAAACATTAGGATGATAGATAGCGCTTTTATCGCACTTTGAAATTCCATAAGAATATAAGTTCGATGTTAATTAAGTTTGATAGCTACAATGAGCTCCTTTATTCAACTCTATGTCGAAGTACTGAGTGACAGCAGTAACTATGATACAACTAAATGAAGTCGAATAGTACCGACAGTACTTACTTTATAGTGAAGATTAATTTAAACACGCACACACACAAACACATAAAAACTGAATTCTCATAAATTGATAATTAAGTGCACTACACTCATGGTGCAACTTAAAAAATACATTTCAGTGAACTGTTTAAATGAGTGCTTATTTTTATTGAATTCGATATTGATTTTCCCGTTATTTAAATGGACCAAAATATATTCGACCTTTGTTGACATGTCAGCTCCCTGTGTATCGATGCTTCGACAATGTTTGAAGATTGTAACTTGAAGTGATTTGGTGGGATCTACGATGTGCATTCTGACTGTCCTCTATTTGGGACTCGTCCGCCAGCTGGATGTGCCTGCATTCCCCAGTGATTGATGGTGTTTACTCTAATGAGGCTCGAATCCAGTTCCCATAGCTTTAAACGTCAAAGCGTTATCCACTAGACCATAACTGGGCCACGGGAATGACAATCTATTTCGATCATCGAAAACCATGAGAACGTCGTTCTCGACGCTGCTTGACTACTTTCCTTGTGGATGATACTTCAAGTCAAAGGATAATAGGGAGACTGGTTGGTCCACTAAGACAACCAACCTCCTGCTCCAGCATTCTGGTCTGGGCTTCTACTGACTGGTTTCAACGTAGAACTTTGCAAAGATATGCAGTATTTCGAGTTGTCAATCTCCCTCCATGTAGCACACAAAACAAGAGAAGAGGAGCAAGAGACATTCAAAACACAGGTAATAGACAAAAATATGAGGCAAAAAGAATAGTACTATTGAAGAACTATATAGTTTTATTGGGTATCATAAGTCACAAGGAGTGGGTGCATCTGCTCCAGCTAGCCATTGAGAACGATTTTGAGCCATATCACTAATTGTCTCCAATCTTCATTGGTTTATACCACCCCGAGGATTCCAACCAACAGTCAAACAGTCTACACCCCCCTACGTGGCTGATTCAACCCACTGTTAAGCATTTCATTGACTGATGTGGCCATGGTTTTGTTTGACCGCCCAACAGCTCTTTTCCAAACTGCTCCTTATTAATGTCACCTAACACTGCCCATCGGGCGAGGAAGGCGACGCCTAGGCGTACGTAATACATGTCCTAACTATCTCAATCAGTGTAGCTTCACAACCTCGTCGACTGATTTCCTCCTTCCCCTACCCACCACTCGACGCCTGACCTGAATGTTACTCACTCTATTATACCACCAGACAGGGGAGATGGAACGCAGACAACTCCGATCAAAGACAGCTAGCCAGACTTTTCATGCCTTCCACTCTGAGCTTGCAGGCTCTATATCAATCAGCCTCATGAGACTTTTTTGTCTGTGTATGTGTGTGGGCAGCACCTCTCTTGGTGCGCATAACAACGGAACAAGTTTGTGTTCTCACGAATAAATCAATAACTCACTCAAATTTGCATTAACAGGAGTAACTGTTTTGGTTTTTGCAATTTTACAATTTATGAAAACGAAACGTCAGTCAGCGAAGAGTCTCTTTTCGGCGAATTCATTTTCTTAGCTGTACAGTCGCAAATATATATGTGTGGTATTTTGTATGTATGTGTACAATAAGTTTGTCAAACAAAAAATACAATTGGATACGGTTATTTTAACTAAACAGGTGAAGATTGGTAATTGGAGTTAAATAATACAAAATCAGTCAAGCAAATTAGGTGTTAATGAAATTAGGGTAGTAATAAGGAGTGCGATAATTGAACACCTGGTTAACACTGATCATTCCATTTCAATAAACGCCTCCTTTAAACTAATCTACTGTGTCAAGAATAACCTATCAAAGGCAATACGGTTTCGTCTTCTTTGTATCGCTGAATCTCTGGCTATTCATAAAGAAAAACTGGAGGTTTGCACATAGAAGAGGATTACTCGACCACTTCTACTGTCATGGTAACAACTTTTTTTAAAATTTTATTTGATTTTTTGATTTTGATGACTTAATTTTGTTTGTTTGCCTGTTCTTTAATTGCTTATAATTCTTGTATTCATTTAGAGCTGTTGTGTAGTTTCGTATTATCTTCTTTGTTCCTATGTGTATCTTGAGTAAAAGTCACTCATCAAACTATTCATATTATCACATAACTCCTAACCCCTATTTGTGACAACTCATCACCTTTGTTACTATCTTAATTTCATTAACACCTAATTTGCTTGACTGATTTTGTATTACTTAACTCCAATTACCAATCTTCACCTGTTTAGTTAAAATAACCATAACCAATTGTATTTTTGTTTGACAAACTTATTGTACACATACATACAAAATACCACACATATATATTTGCGACTGTACAGCTAAGAAAATGAATTCGCCGAAAAGAGACTCTTCGCTGACTGACGTGTTTTGTTTTCATTAATGGCTGAATGGGGATTATCCATGAATTCTATACTTAAACAAATAAATACCTTCACCCTGTACTTGAAAACAAAATTTCTGTCTTCACATGTGTGCGTCGGGGGCACAGTGGTTAGGATTCTCGTCGACCATGCAAATGGTCCATGGTTCGATCCCCTACCAAAGCACACCTGGTATCTATGGTCGGCCTGCGAAATTCGGGCTACCGATATCCATGCTGAAAATTCCATACCTGTACCAAAAAATACGACGTGGAATCAAGCTGTAATCAAAAATTAAAAAAATAAATAAAAATTTTAAAAACTTACATCGTGAAAAAGCTGCTTCAATTTTACTTGAACTATGCGTATCTTTAGCTGCTGGAGTTTGTAAGCCAATTTCATAAGGAAATACACGACCACGATTGAGCCATTGGTATTCTTCAGAGGCAAGAAAATGCACTGGAAATGAACCTTCTGGATGTGACATATTCAAGATATTGATAGGAGCATTTCGCGCGTGGATTATTTCACACGGCCACCAACGAAAACGTGCTATTTTTGCCCAAATAATTTGAGCATATCTTGGGAATACACCCTGTCTAAAAGGAAAAGAACATTAACATTGCCAGCTCATACGAATGTCTCAGTAGCGGGATACTCTTCAACTACTCTCCAGTGTTCTAAGAGTTCTATTTCCGAATGATGCAATCACTAAACCACGTGCGCCTAACTGGTAGTGAGCCCAATAAAAAAAGATTAGGGTAAGGTGTGAGGCTAGAGAGAGTACACGCCATAAAAACAACGCCACCAGATCACAAAAATATCACATCTACCAAAATGTGACTAAGCAAAGGTGTAGTAAACAACCAGCAACAGTTCAATATTAGACCACCTGGTCCAAAGCTAGCTAGCATTAAAGAATCCTTCTCTATCATCATCTACCGGATACCAAATAAATTGCCAAAAACATACAAGTATCGCATACTCCAAACAGTAGAGGATACCGTGATTCTCCTGAAAAAACCGGTGCCCTGTGAGCGGAAGAAGCAAGTCCAGCGAGCCACTGACTACTACTGCCCTGACTGGCCTTCAGTAGAGACTATAAATTTATGAATTTGTATTATTATCTTTCCTAATTTCACTGTATGATATTCAGTGAGTGTAGTGTTATGTGTGCTTTTGGAAGTCTGTGGGCGGTTGTTACCTCCCTGTTGCCAACACTATGGAAGTTGCTTGATTCATCGGGTACTTGAAACAGAGAGAGCGTTAAGTGTTGCGTGACTTCTGAGCCCAGGGGACAACTGTTTGAGACCAGCCGCTCACACACGGCCTGTATGAACTGGTTTGTGGCATTGGTTCCGTATTAGTAAACTTACCGTCTGTTACGGACCACCGTAGGTGGGGTGAGTCGGGATGTACAATTTTTGGGGTCGACCTTTTCTAACCCCTTCTCTCCAGAGTGAAGAGACAACATAGCTGGCTGGCATGCTGGTCATCTGAGGGAAACACCTTACTGCAGCTGTTACATCCCTGTTCCCCAGCAGTACGACTTCGCCCACAGACCCTCCCCAACATAGTGTAAGAAAGATTCTTACACAATTCCGGTAACTGCTTTTAGTTTAATCGCTGTCCTAACAACCTTCCTGGCATGGTAGGACCTGCAGGAACATTGGTTCCAGCCAGTGTAGCTTGTTGGGTCATCGCGATTTGCAAGCCGGGCGACAGTCACGTCCCTAGGTGACTTCAGTGACTCAGGAATTGACTTGCTACCGGGGAATAATCTCGTTGACTTAGAATACGCAGACGATATAGTCCTTCTAGGCGAAGACGCTGACGAAATGCACAGTCTTCTAAACACCTTGAGCCGCAATCTACGAATGTTTGGCATGCGATTCGCTCCCGCCAAATGCAAGATGATGTTACAGGACTGGACTACATCGACGCCTAGTTTAAAAATAGGAAGTGAAGTGGTAGAGCACGTTGACCGCTTCACTTATTTGGGAAGTACCATCAGCCCCAACGGGCTGATCTCTGACGAAATCTCAGCACGAATACAAGGGGCTCGTTTCGCATTTGTTAGTTTACGCCGACTCTGGCGTAGACGAGATGTTCGACTATCGACCAAAGGGCGGGTGTACTGCTCATCAGTCCGCTCCGTCCTCCTTTATGGTTGTGAGACCTGGCCACTGAGAGTGGAAGACATGAAAAGACTAGCTGTCTTTGATCATAGGTGCCTGCGTTCTATTTCCCGTGTAAAGTGGCATAATAAGGTGAGCAACATGGAGGTTAGGCGTAGAGTTCTAGGTAAACAGGGGAAATCAATCAACGAAGTCGTGAAGCTACAAAGACTGAGATGGTTAGGACATGTGTTACGTATGCCAAGTCATCGCCTCCCTCGACGAGCTATGTTAGCGGATATAGGGTCAGGGTGGAAAAAAGCTAGCGGCGGTCAAACAAAAACTTGGCATCAGTCAATGAAATCCACAACAGTTGGTCTAAGCCACGTAGAAAGGTGTAGACTTCCAGGCTGGGGTCCTCGGGACGGTAAAAATCAATGGTCGGAAACAATTGGTGACATGGCTCGAAACCGTTCTCAGTGGCGCAGGTGCATCCACTCCCTGTGACTTATGATCTTCAATGAAACTGTTTTGTATTTCTTTATTACTCCTTTGTCTCACACCTCTGCTCACTGTTTCTATTATGCTTTTCTTGTACTTTCTTCTCTTGCTTCGCGTGCTACACGGAATGTGGCGACTTGAACTTCCGCACATTTGTGCAAAGTTCTATGTCGAAAACAGACAGACAGACAAGGTAGCAACTACCGGTCAGGTCAGTGGGTAGTGTTATGTTGATGTTGTAGAACTGTAATCCATTGATGTTGTTATTATTGATTCGATGTTATTTGAACAACATTATTGTTGTTAATGACACCAATTCATTCATTTACTATTATGTATATATAATTGTGGGGCCTGATGATGAAGGCGTTATCGAAAAGAACATTTGTTTTGATGTGGTTGTGTTCTCTGAGCTGGATATTTGATTTGCGAAGCTTTCATCGCCCTACTAGGCGACATCTTCAGCGCATACTTCAATTTGAAGTGGAGTATAAGTTTGGAAATCATCGGCAGTACGCACCCATTGACGGGGTTCGAACACAGGAGCTACTGGTTACGAGGCGATGCTTTAAACCATAACGCGCCTCTGGGGCGAGATCTAAAGGCCTATAAATTCCAACTTCTGCCATCGAATATGCATATGAAAGGTTAGACAGTATGACGAGAATTACAGAGCTATGTCACAGGCTCACCACCTCTCTCCCCAGTTTCCTCATCCAGTCAGTACCTGGGCTAGCGAACAGCGAATAATACGGGACCAATGGGATGACACTCGTAGCACAAATCTATGTCACCGAAGCCGGTGTTTCAAAATGACGATACTCAATGAAAGGTGATCTCCACCACAGTGTCGAGATACACGCTGCCAGACCTCAGAAAGAATTACTTATACAGTGATCTGTTCACGTATACAAGCAATTCTGCAGAGGAAGCAGTGATAGAATATGCAACTTGGAGAGGTTAGGTTTCATAGGCGTTGTAGGCGAGGTAGACTGACAGCACCCAAGCGTTGAAGACCCGATCTTTGACAACCAGACTGACATCACGACGGCCTCAGACAGGTAAGCCACATATTGGTGGTTAGAGATTTCATCTGTCACACCTCCGCCAGCACTCACTTACCCAATCACATAACTGCCCAGATACACAAACTTGTCGAAAAATTAAACAGTTGAAACGCCAAACTATTAGCAAAATCATAATCAGGAAGTTATGCAAAAAGAACAAGGGTGGACGCTGAAAAAACCAGAAACAACAATAGCGGCACCGAACTCACCGACAAGATCGGCACACAAATTTGTCATCAGTGAAAGTTCCAAAGGAAGGCTGTAGACAATCTTTGTGATAGGTAGTTGGACAGTAGTAACAGTCAATCTGTGATTTGAAAAAGAAAAAATAAACAGAAAGGTAAGGTTTAGAACGGGTTCTTTTTTGTCGCCTACAATGTCAGTATTAAACAAAATAAAAAAGGTTAATAAAGAGAATAAAAAGGGCAAACCACTTATGAAAGATATTCATTCCTGCTTTTTTATTCCATTTATTATTAGTGGGGGATATAATCAAATCTTCACTAGGGAGAAAATGTTGACACACAAAACAACTGTATATCTAATACTACTCACTACCTACAATTCTAACATAGTGCTTTGCACAGAAGTGCACCAGTTGAAGTTGTCACACTCCATTTAGCCCGCAAATGTAAACAAAAGAGATTATGATTATTTCCTTTAATTCCTAGAGGAACATAGGGCTTCAGCTTCACGTCTCCACTGCGTTCGGTTCTCTGCTAAAGTTTTCACCCCGCTCCATGTCTGCCCACATGCTTTCATCTCCTCTTCACATGACCTCCTCCAAGTCTCCCTTGCACTTACGACCAACTCGCCGCTTCCCTGTCGGGTTCCACTCGAGCGATGGCTTGTCGAGTGATGTCACTTGATGGTTTGTTTTCTCAGAGTATGGTCAATCTATCTCCATTTCTTCCAGCGTATTTGTTGCACAATCAGTTGCTGGTCTTTTCTGGCCGGCTATCTGATCTTGAGTATCTAGCGAAGACAACTGTTAATGAAGGTCGGTAGTTTGTTTGAGGTGCTCTTTATGACGCGCCAAGTCTCTGATCCATCAGTATAGTAGCACTACCTTCACATTGCAGCTGAAAATCCGGATCTTATTTTCATTGTCACGCTGAGTGCTGTTGACCTCCACACAGACTTGAGAGTAATGAAAGCTTGTCTTGCTTTCCCTATCCTTGCTTTGATATCCTTGTCAGTTCTGTTGGCTTATAGTTGAAACGATGCTTCCCAGGTCGGTAAAGGAGGTTGTTTCTTTCAGGTTCCTCCCATTTATACTGATTGTTGTTGTGCATATACTCATTCACATGCTCGTGCTGAGCTGATTACATTGGACGTATGTAAGCGTGTTCTCCTTAATCGCCTAGCTGAATGAACACTACCCGATTTGGTTAAAGAAAGGTGAGCAAAGGATGACAAAGTCTTCAATCTGTGAACACCTACTGGAGTCAGGTCATTCAGTCAGCCACACGTGATTTATCCTCTAAACAGAGTTATTTACAGGGCCAACAAATCCAACCATTCCAAAAGGTTACGTCTTCGCCACTTATGCACAGCCGACGCGTTCTAGCTATAAACATGGACAAAAACCTAAATTATGTGTTCAAAAACGTTTTGTTGAATCCCACATTTTTCTACCTTGATCATAGTTTACCACATGAATTCATTCCACTTCACTTCATCTTTGCTGTCTTTACTGTTATCACTGCTGTACTCTTAACTGTGTAAACAACACTTGGCCTACAGTTTTTGAATCTTTGTACCAGTTTACTTATTTCTGGTGCCACCTAATTCCTAAGTCGCTAAGACCGATTAGCACCATATCCAGTAGTACATCTATGGTGAAATTAAACAGAAATAGTGGACAGTGAAAATCTCTGATGGACATCACTGGTTTTCATTACTTCAGATGAAAACTCTTCGGTTGAAATTCACCTACATATACCACTTGAAACACAATTAAAGTTAAAGTTAAACTTACACGTTCTCCTGATGGGCGAAAACAATGGAAGCACCAATTCGGATGTTGTGTTTTAAAATTTGGTAACAATTGCAGCGAGTCATCAAAGTGTCTAGGACAGACAATATGCGATAGCGAAACTTCAACTGAACCAGCTGGTGTACACAAATCACCGGTATGAAATACTGCTGGACATCTAGATTAGAATTAACAATAAAAAGGATATACTTCAGGGAAGATAGAGTTAAAATCACTGACGAAATATACCATATTTTTACCGATTATTTGTATACTACTTAAAAGTAGTCAGAAGAATAAGGGTGGAGTTAATTGACTGACCTCGCGGGCTCCAAACAGGGAGTCGTGACACACCAACCGATGCTAATCTAGCACAAACATCCTTCATCCCACAACGCCACGTCATGGACTGACCACCCCTTCGCCTTTTCCATCCCGTCCAAGGACTGGCTAGCGAACAGAGACCTGGGATGACATTCGCAGCACATGTCCAAGCCACCGGAGCCGGTTTCCAGATGACGACACTCAATGAATGGTGATCTCCAATGTGCTCAAACACACGCCGTCGAACCTCAGAATTACTCCCGCGATGATGCCATCGAACGCAAGCAATCCTGCTGAGACAGCGGTGATCGAACACATAGAGTCACCGGACATCCTCAGCTCGGAGAGGCCAGGTTTCACAGGTGTAGAACAAGACAGCCCGCACCGAAGCATTGTATGCCCGACCTTTGACAGTCAGGCTAATGTCGCGACGGTGCCAGAGGTGGCTGAAGTTGATGTATGCCACCTTAGCCTTCATTATACGGTTGGAAATCTCATCCATCACCCCTCCGCCAGCACACACACACAACTATCCGGATACACAAACTTATAAACAACTTCAAGCGGTTCACGTGCACGAGGGAGTGCAGGTACACGCTCCTGACAATCAGATCCCTGCAAACCAACCACCTGACAAATTACATATAAGTAAATTTGACAAATACGAGACCTATTCAGTAGGACAATCGTTAGCATACACATTTATACATATTTCATCAAATATCCTATCGCACTCAATCTTTCTAACTATTATGCATCGGTGATTCAGTGGTACGATACTTGCCAGCCATGCATACACGTTTCGAGGTTCGATCGCCGACCCGCGTATCCCTAAACCTGGCTTACCCCCGTAATAAGCCCTGTAAAGAGGGACGGTTGACTGAAAAAGGGCCAGCAAATCCATCTCGTAAAAGAATTAAAAACCAATGCTACTGTGAAACATAAAAACTCAAGCATGAAGCCTTAAGCTCCATTCAAAACTCAAAGGAATAAAATAATGATTAGGAAAAAATTAATTTCGATAGAGAAAAGAAGATGAAATGAGCAACAAAGAGATGCTTCCCTGCAGCCTAGCTGGTAACACTATACAGCACACTACATGTTCTATAAGCCGATCGAAACTGGATAATTAGCCAACTGCATTTATAAATTTACGTGCACCTACGGCAGCAAGTACACTGGAAGGACAAAAAGAAGGGCTTCTATCCAGTTTTCAGTACATATTCCAAGAAACTTATGCTTAAAAGGAAGCAGATATTTATAAAGTGCAATTACCAGACAGACACCGACCTTGTGGATACCGGTCATTTTGTTGAGATTTCCAAATTCTTCAAAATATTAAACATACAAAAGACAACGAGTCTTCTACGATTTACCGCTGAAGCGATAGCAATCAAACTTCTCAGACCAAACTTAGCACATAGAAAGAGAGTGTAGTCAATCTCTCACTGCCTTGGTAACCGTATTACTTTGATTACACTGATTAGTCATACACACTAGCTAAGTTCACTAAGCAAGTTTTCAATTTGATGAACATTAATCCACTTGAGTTGACATGTTGACACTGTTTATTAGATTTTTCTGTCTTCTGTTTTCTCTCACCCCACCCCGTTTTTTCATAGTTTGATAGCAAATAAATTGATGGTAAATTAAACTGAAAATTTTAATACTTATATTCCGGATGAGTTCATCTTATAATGTTTTCTCTATTACCTTTCAAACATTGAAGTATGAAGTGTTATTATTTATAACTATTGTAATTTCAGGTGGTTTGCAGTGTTTCAACACTTACTTTAGAAATAGAACGACTAAAGCTGTCTGTAGAAGAACTGAAGACCGACTGAGATGCGGGATATTATAAGGTGTAGTAAGGCTATGAATGCAGGATGTTCAGAAAATTTGGCCCGCGCATCTGAACAATCAGCACAGATTAGCGACATAAGATCACATGTCTGTAAACTTGCACCTCTGAGCATCCTGATCAGAATCATAAACCCTGGAGAACTAGACACAAATTCGGTAACCAAGGTAGACACATCCTGATAAACTTCATCACAACAGAGGTTATATCAAAAGACTAGATACTAAACTAAGTGTGATAGTCTATAATATACCGGATAATGAGGGGTTGAAAAGAGTTCAAAATATCTTACTTAAGGCGGCTAAAATGCCTAACTCCCAAACAAAGTGTCACAGACTGAAAAAGAGTCAGCACGACCACCATTGACCTATAAGCCTTCAGTTTGAGATACAGATAGAGGCTAAGAAATTCACCAACTCACAACGTATCCTATTACAGGATACGAGTTACAAACAGATAGAAAGTTGTGGTAGATGATGGTGACCGATAGCTGCTACCTTGACGTTGTGGTCACTGGACTTGCACATCGCGATGACCCAAAAAGCTACACTGGCTGGAACCAATGTTCCTGCAGGTCCTACCATGCCAGGAAGGTTGTTAGGACAGTGATTAAACTAAAAGCAGTTACCGGAATTGTGTAAGAATCTTTCTTACACTATGTTGGGGAGGGTCTGTGGGCGAAGTCGTACTGCTGGGGAACAGGGGTGTAACAGCTGCAGTAAGGTGTTTCCTTCAGATGACCAGCATGCCAGCCAGCTATGTTGTCTCTTGACTCTGGAGAGAAGGGGTTAGAAAAGGTCGACCCCAAAAATTGTACATCCTGACTTACTCTACGGTGGTCTGTAACCGGTGTTAAGTTTAATAACACGCAAGCGAACCAAAAAAACAGTTCATACAGGCCGTGTTTGACCGGCCGGCCTCAAGCAGCTGTCCCCTGGGCTATGCGGTCACGCAACACTAACCCTCTTTCTGTTTCAGGTACCCGAATACAGACAGTGATGAGAACCTGTGAAATAGACTGATGATATCCCTTTATACTGCAAATCTGGTCTTTCTTTCTCTCTATCGAAATTAATGAAGGGAACTAAATGTATGAAAAAATTAATTTCTAACCATTATAACTAAATTTTTAGAAAAGACAATATATAAATGCATAAAGGAAGTGTAAAGTAGAAACACACATAACAATGTATAAAAGAGAAGGCGTTCAACGAAGAGTTATACTCTCTTCGGAGATATCATCCTCCAACTTGAGATTGCAAAGATTAACTCTTCGGCGAACGCCTTTTTTTCCTTTTAATATGACTCAATAGGGGATTTTTCAAATAACATAACACTTACCGAACACATTCTAAAAATGGTCCTTCATTAGAAGTTGATCTTTTTGTTTTATGATGATTAGTTTCATTCGACTCCAAAACACACGTGTTACACGTATGAGCAGGACAACGAAGAATTTGAAAACCTCCTGGTCGAGTAGATGAAGACTCTGGTCTTGTCATTGCACCAGGCCAACCGGATAAGCATTCACGATGAAAATGTCTACCACAATTAACAACCTTGAAAATAATTTAAAGAGTCAAAAAGTTGGATTACATTAAAAGTCACCAAATGGGATTTTACAATCCCCCCCCCTTTATCGGCTCTTTCCATCTCCTATTGGGCGTAAAAAATACACTCAACCTGATTAATACATACGGCATACACCATGCTCTAATGATTGATAAAGGCAGTTGGGAGAGAAAACTCACACATTAAACAGATCGAGGATAATTTTTAAAACAACGGACAGGCATTGTTGCTTATTTTTAGTTAGGCTAAACTCACCAGTAATATCCTCAAAATGGCTCAGCTCAGAGAGTTGAATCAGGGCCAATTCAACTGAATTCTAGCTGGTGGTTACCGACACACAATATGGAATACACAATTCAAGGTTAAAAAATTTCACCAACACACACAGTTTCTTTGACAAACTAAAGATATTCATCAAATTGGAATTATCTAATTCGATTTGAACATTCCCATGATGACATGTCGGTATCTTGTGCGGACATACTTCGATAATTTCTGGGAATTTAACTTGAACTAACTTGGTGGATGGGTGGTAGTGACTAGCAGTCCAATTACTGATACCCATTGCACAAGGAGGGGGGGGGCTCTCGTTGTCCATGTATGTGGTCTAGTGGATAACGCTTTAGCGCTTGAAACGATGGGTACTGGGTTCGAGTCTCAATGGGAACACCAATCATCAGTCATTGGGAAATGCAGGTACATTCCAATCTGACGAGTCTTGCATAGGGATGAAATGCACGTTATCCTGGACTCCACCGCTAGTTACCACCCGACAAATTCAAATACGAATACAAAGTACTCTTAAATTACTCAGTGAATCCAATTATGAAATATAATTTATCTCAAATACAATGAGTTAATATATATATATATATATATATATATATATATATATATATATATATATATATTAGAATATGTACAAGTTACCTGACACGCAAACAGCTGACCGACACCATTCTTAGTTCCCGTTTCATCTGGTTTGCCGCATATTGAACACAAGAATTCACCACTAAGACATTGTGGGCAGCGAAATCTTTCAGGACGATTATTGTCTATGTAATACAAATATAAAAAAAATAGGGAAAAAGAGGTTAAATAAAGATATGAACGATTAGATACACAAGAATATTATGTTATTATTATTAATACTATTTTATAATTAACCTGTCTAGTTCCAAGTGGAATATAAGATTTTAGCCGCACATCACCATATCATTCTGCGCTCAGTAGTGCCCGTAAGCGTTAATTTCCTTCCGAGACGACCTCTTTCAGATCACCACCCTTGAACATATTCTGAACGCATCGTTTCCCATTCGGATTACACTCAAGGGATTGCTTAGGCGTGTGATTTCACTCAGCAGCATGTGTACAATATCATCAATCCACCACCGTTTCTTTTCATACATTTTCAGCCTATAGAGGTGCTTGGTTGGTTCGTCGCCTGAATTCGCCTTGTCACTCATCCTTTGTGACCATCTGATCCTTAGTATGGAGCTTCCTCAGCGAAGGCAGCAGCTACTGTTGATAAAAAAGCCTGCTTGGAAATACAATTTTCCTGACGTCTTTTAAGTCTCTAAAGATTGATATTCCTCTTGAAAATCCTCATGTTCGGTTCCACATCGATCTAAGACTAATAAAGGCCTGTCTGTGTCGCCCTTTTTGTAAATCCGATTCCACCTTTGACACACTCATCCATGCGTCTGTAGTTGAAACGATCGATCATACTAGGTACTATCGTGAAAGACGTGACTTCATTCCTCACCACTTCACTTGAAATCCTGACTTCGCCATGCCAGCCTCTTCTACCAACTAATCGGTTTTCACCTGTGTATGTATACCTTCGAATTTGTGTGGCATTATACACACACACACACTTAAAAGACATACCAAGTAAGTCTAAGTGCATAGATATTATATTGGAGTCAGTGTGTAAAGCATTCATACACCATTTTTTCCTAGAGGAGGTCAACAGCGAACCAGAATAACTTAGTGGTAACTTTGCTGACTTGCAGCAGCAGCAGCACTGTGCACTGGGTCACTCACGTTCGAATCCCACAAGTGACAGGAATTCCTTCAGAATTACACACACACACATACACCATGCTGACGAGTGTCGAACAAACATACAAAACCTAGGGGTAAAATTATTTCTACCACCGATTGCATCATCAAGCCATCCCATATCTATAGCCAAACTTCCGATTAATATGTTATACATACATAGGAGTTTATTACAATAAGACATACATTATATAACAAAACCTACCTGATGGAGGTGGACTTTTATACTTCATACATTTTATATGTACAATTCTACCGCATGGACCACGACACTGTGACATTTCACCAGGGATAACAGAGTAGACTTCGCATACAGGACAAACTGGTTGTAGGCGATACTGTGCTGGTGAAACAATTAACCGGTGGATTTCAACATCAAATTCTTGTGGTTCTGATGTTTGTTGTTGTTGTCGTTTTTTCACTTCGGATTTCTGATTATTATTTAAATTAAAAAAATTTTCAATTGACAAGTAAAGAGGCTATTAATAAATGAAAGAATGCCAGTATTACTAATATGATTGTTTAACGATAACAATAATAATAATAATAATGATTTATCAGAACGATTAATAATGATAACAGTTTGAAATAAAAGTAATTTACAACAGCATAATACACCAAATCATCTGTAAAAACAAAGTGGAGAGCGATGAATACGTGAATTAAACTATGAATAATTATCAGTAATATAAGGGATCCAGTGCGTCGGTGGCACAGAGGTTAGGACGCTCGCCAACCATGCACATGGTCCGGGGTTCAATCCCCAGCCGACTCATTCCTTTACCTCGGTAAGCCAGTAATAGAACTGGCAAGCAGGGAAGGTTGGGCATGAGGCTAGCAACTCCATCCTGTAAAAATAAACGCCACTGCTACAGAAACTTCAAACCTCTAAATTGAAGCCCTATGTTCCACTAGGAACGTATATATATATATATATGCATATATATAAAGGATCCAACAACCCCCCCCCATTTAAACCAAATGAAACGAACGATGGTGAGTACACTTCGTTCGATATTTTTTTCGAAACGCTCTCATGTGGCCACGCGTTCACAGTTTATCTCCGTATTACAAGTTAAGTCCTATTCAACACTGCCTCCATTCAACAACGGGGTTCTCCTCACAAAACTGAAGTGAAACGGCGAATGAGAACACCTGGCACTTACAACCAGTAGTGTACATGGTATGTGAAAGTTTTTGTCACCGAGAAATCGTGGGAAGGTAGAGCTCCCGATACTGATCCATTGCACTGCCTTGTAGATCAAGTTTCATATTATAAAGGTTCTTAAGACAACTACTTGCTTCGCGAACAGGGTTGGCCGAGAAGTTATCGCAGTCCTTGTACAAATTATGAGATTTAGTACGGGGTGTGTCTCTCGGTGTGTATAATGACTGTAAGGGGTTTTTTGTATTAATATTTTTTTAAAAAAATTGAGAAATGTACAGTATAAGTTATCAGGTATCTCAACTCTTCCTTAGATGAATATACACACACAGTGATCACAGATGAAAAGGGAAAGGTTAGAAGAAATATCAGATATTACCAAAATCCTCAAGAAAAACAAATCTCATCAACCAAAAACCAACACCAGCATTAAACATAGCCGAAAACGAATTGGGAAAACACCGATCTCTCAATAATTGTGTTATTTCGAAGAGAGATTAAACATGTCAGATGAGATCAGGAGAGTTACTTACTCAACAACGACAAAAAATGGAACATAAAAGTTATCTCCAAAAGCAACCTTGTCCGTCTTAGATATTGAATTCAAATGGATTCAAAACCTTAACCGCGTCTACAAAATAAAATGCTTAGAATGTGATGCGACATAATATATGTATCGAACCGTAGAGCCACTATATATATATATATATATATTCCGCATCACTGAGAAATCCAATATTATAATTAGAAAGGCTTGAAAAGTCATAAGCCATAGAGTCGAAAAATGATTTTGATAATATTGAAACCATTATTTAGAAAGATTTTTAAAAAATGTGTCATATCGTAAGCACTTCATACTAAGTGGAATCCAAGTCGTTAGGATGGAGGGGCGGGGGAATGATGGATTGAGACAGGATTCGACATGGTCGCAACACCACCCACCCCATTGACCTTCCACCATGATGACGTGACACAATCAACACAAATATGATAAGCCATTTCATTACATAAACACAAATGCTGTCGTAAAAATCTAAAAGATTTATCTCTACCCATTAACCTCCGTGTTGAAGAACTATGACGATAAGCCAGAAAGACAGCTGCTGACATACTGCAGCCGGGAGAGGCAAGAGACAGGTAGTAACAGTGGCCAGAGGAGATATATATGTGATGCTAGTAAAAAGGTTTCTCTCCAGAGATTAGCATATTACCTATACTGTCCACCAAGTTTGGGTATAATAAGGCGTTAGAAACGGTTGACCCTTTAAAGAAAGCTGTGTCCTTCGCTGGTTACCGTTGCTACATTTATTTTATAATTTTAATTCCTGTGAATTCCAAAACGAACATAAGGCTTCAATCAAGCTTGAGGTTTAAAGTCTCAGTGGCAGGAGTGTTATTCCTTTTTTTCTAATGGCGTGGGGTTAGTAGATTCTTATGTCCAACCTTCCCACTTTAACCGGGCTTACACCACCACCGACCAATCAAGGCTTTTTTTTAGGAGTGTGCATCAGCCGGGTATCGAATTCCGGATCACATAAGTGGCTAGTGAGTATTATTCTACCACTGAGCCACCAATGCACTCTCCTATTGCTAAAGGCAAGCTTTTTTCTATAGGCGAAGATCAACAACTTATTAGAAGATCCTATGCTATCCAACTACAAGACAAAATATTTCTAGGAGCTCCAAAGTAGCATACACATAAGTACTTCAGCGTATTTTTTAGGAGTTCCACTTCGTGAATATGAACAAATGCAGGTTATGGAACAATCCGACTACCTAAAACAGCACATATATAAATCTACTTTATCAATCTACTTTGATGAGTGAAAAATGAATGAACAAAATTGACCACCAAATACACAATTTTCTTAACATAATGTCTGTATGTTTTCGACATAGAACTTTGCACCGATGTGCATCAGTTCAAATCGCCACACTCCACGTACCACACATCACATACTGATGTCACTGATGATGTGTCAGAGACCGCATTGAAAACCAGCGATCACTAAGAATCTGCTCATTCAAACATGGTTTGAAACGCTTAAAAATTCCATAATTATGACTTGATTAGGGAGATTAAGAAATACAAGAGTTCCAGGTTATGAAGTGAGTACATTACAGAGTTTAGCTATGCAGTAGTTGAAATCCTATGGTCTATTAGAAATGAGTGAACAGAGAGAGAGAGAGGAATACCAGCAGTCAGTTACATAGTTAAGGTAGTACTGCTTAGTGAGAAAACTGAGTAACGCTTTAGGTAGGTGTATATGTACAATAAAGTGAACTACAAAACAAAATTATAGACACCCATTAAGAAAGAAAAAAGAAAAACCTAGCGCAAAACTTACTCTGCTAGATTTAGAATTTCGATTTTCTGCAGACTTTGCGGCAGATTCAAGGGCTTTACTAGCTGCGACTTCTTTACACTTACGAGTCTTTTCTAAACGCTGAAAGAAAAGTAAAGGATAGGAGGTTAAAAAACTGAAATTATTTCTAAACCAGTATAAAGGGTTTTATATATATATATATATATATATATATATATATATATATATATAATAGTAACTAAATAAGGACCTTTTTTCCTTCACATTTCCCAGTGGAACATAGGGCTTCAAGCTAGTGGCTTGAAGATTCTGTAGCAATGTTTATTTTACAGGATGGGGTTGCTAGCCTCATGCCCAACCTTTCCTCTTTACTAGCTTTATTTCTGGCTTAGCGAGGTAAAGGAATGCCTCAGCCGGCGATCGAATCCTGAACCATGTGCACGGTCGTCGAGCGTCCTAACCGCTATGCCACCGACGCCCAAATAAGGACCTTGCATCACGACAAAATATGAAGTTTTAAGCACTGAGTTGCCCTGTACAGAAATGCATCAATTAAATGATTGTGAAATGTTTTTCAAGAAATTTTGGTATGAAGCAGCCTACTGATTAAATTAACTAAGGTCATTAGCTAGTGTAAGAAGTCTGATATGATTTCTAAAAACAGCATAATAATAATAATACATAATCCTTGAACTTTTCCGTAAACTCAAAAATAGAACAACCAAATATTATCTAAAGTTGAAAATGCATTGAAAAGGATATATGATATCAAACAACAGATATGAAGTAATAACAATAACAATAGTCTTGCTCCATTACAGCAGAAATTACACTGGAAAGAACAGATACTACACATGATCTTAGCTCAGAGAGAGGAGAAGCGACTCCAATGTGAAGTCAATGCTACTCACCATATGGATAGATCAGAGACTTGGCGCGTCATAAAGAGCATCTCAAACAAACTGCAAACCTTCATCAACAGCTGTCTTCGCTCAATACTTCACTCAACATCAGATGGCCGGCCAGAAAATATCAGCAACAGGGATCTCTGGCAATGAGAGAACAAACCCAGGAGGAACCGATTGTGAAACAAATAAGCAGGAAGAAATGGAGGTGGATTGGCCATACTCTGGGATAACCACACCTCTGCTCACTGTTTCTATTATGCTTTTCTTGTACTTTCTTCTCTTGCTTCGCGTGCTACACGGAATGTGGCGACTTGAACTTCCGCACATTTGTGCAAAGTTCTATGTCGAAAACAGACAGACAGACTCTGGGATAACAAACCATCAAGTGACATCACACGCCAGGCGATCGCTCGAGTGGAGCCCGAAAGGGAAGCAACGAGTTAGTCGTCAGTGCGATGGTGACTTGGAGGAGGTCATGTGAAGAGGAGATGAAACAGTATGGATTAACATGGATGCAAGTGGAAAGTACAGCATAAGACAGAAGTGGCAAGTGGAGACGTGCAGTTGAAGCCGTATGTTCCACTAGGAACTCAAGGGAACAATAATAATAATACAAGGCTAACGTTAGTTTATTTTAGGAGTTTGTGAAGTTATTTCCTTGTAGAAAGTTTCTAAGTGTAACTGTTGTTTTTGCACTGAGGCCATCCATAATTTTATGATGATAGCTATTATCGATTTCTGTAGTTATACATTTTGTTCTCCTGATGAAATGTCTACAAAACAGCGCCTTTATGGAAGGTTGATGTGTCACTTAACATCAGAGGGAGGTATACAATATGATAATTATCCTCGGTAGTTTCATGGGATGTGAACCAACCTGATCCCTACAGCATACAAGCGTTGCTGTAGGCGCTTCTAGCACACCGATTGGGCAAAGACTGTTATGGTTCGACAGTACACTTAGCGAAGTCTCCTTATCATAGAGGAAAAGGAACCAGTTCCCAGGTATTGATAATGTTATTAGAGTCATTGATAATTCCCAAAGTAGCCTTGACGCGACATTGTTGGAAAAACTGTCTGCAACACGCCTAATTGCCCTAATATGAAAGATATACAAAAGGTCGTCAATCTGCAGTAAAACTCACCATACAGGCCACTGACAGTAGGCAGTCACGATAAAAGTCAAGTGGGAAGAACACCAATGAATTGTGAGACTAAACCACTGCATATGACATATCGCCAATGAAAGATGTCGTTGTCCCAATGAATAAAAGCCAATCGCAGCACACCTGATCTCTTGAACAGGTCGATCAACTTAAAAAGGTGGGAGAATATAGAACCAAAGGCTACGTTCAAACACAACCTACGGTAAAGTCGAATCATTCATAGACAAGCTACTGTCTAAGTCAGCAGCAGGCGAAACCACTAGTATTCTGTACGGAGTCAGCAGCAAGGCCGATTCCACGGTAAGTCGGTTGGCGTTCTCAAGGTTACAGTAAGCTCAGAGTGAGACGCAATTCTTAGCAATGCCCATACTCTCGAAGGATTGAGTACCTACGTCTGCGCAGAATTATGTCTAGCAGACAGTAAAAAACGTTTGATGAATTGGAGTTTGACGAATCGCATTGCAACAACGAGAAGACCTTTGTTATTGAGGGTTTCCAGGTGGCAAAAATTTGAAGTTTGATGACTTCCAAACCTCTGTAGGTAGAATGTGGAGGCACCAAGCTGCACTAATAGTTTGACGCACTAGTACCTTCAGTCTATCGAATAAATCAACTGAGTTAACTCGGAAAACCCAGATGTTATCGCCATGATTGGATCATGGCTAACACCAGAAATCAGCAACAGTGAGGTCAAACTTCAAAACTTTGCAGTACATAGGGTAGATCGATTAAAGCACAGAAAGGGGTGAAGTATTCACCTACCTTAAGAAGAGCCTAACATTGCGTATCACGGCTCTCACACACGAAAACAGATTATAAAAACTTCTAAACTGAAAACTAAAATGCAAGACAGAAGAAGTCGATTTCATCTTCATATATTGCAGTCCCGACGACTATCTCATAGAAGAACTAGGCTTGTGGACATCAGTGTCACTACTTTATAATAGGAGATTTTGAAGTATTATAAGTTCACCGATATTCTTATACAATTCCCGTGTGTAGTGGTATATTAGGGTAAGCAATACTGAGGTTAGGCTACGGTCGAGTGCTAGGTAAGGAGGGGAAATCAATCGATGAGACCGTGAATGTACATCAACTGAAATGGTGGGACATGTGTCGCGTATGCCTAGTCATCGCCTTCCTCGCCCGACGGGCATTGTTAGCTGGCATATAGTCAAGTTGGAAAAGAGCTAGTGGCAGTTACACTAAAACATGGCACCACTCAATGAAACCCACAACAGTTAGTTTACGCCAGCCACATAGGAAGATGTATACTTCCTGACGGGTTGGGGTCCTCGGGACGGTAAAAACCAATGAGGGCTGGAGACAATTAGTGATATGGCTAAAAACCATTCTCAATGGCTGGTGCAGATGCACCCACTACTTGTGACTTATGATATTCAATAAAACTACATTGTTCTTCGTTATTACTGTTCCTTTTGTCTCATATCCCTATCTACTGTCTCTATTTTGCATTTCTTCTCTTGATTTGTGTGCTACATGGGGGGAGTGTGGCGACTTGAACTACTGCACATCGGTGAAAAGTTCTATGTTGAAAACAGACAGACTATAAGCTGGTATAATCCTCCATTTCACTGGCATTAGTCTAGCACAATATGAAACCAACGCATCCTTTTACAAACTTTGGTCACTGTCTTCTTCCATAGTAACGTGGACTTCATATAACACCTTCCACCCTTAGGAAGAAGCTTAACTTCAAAGTTCCTGAAGTATCCTGGGCCAAAATCTAATGATGACCAGACGTGTAGTCAATAAAAACACTATAATTTCTTCAGCAGAATCAGGGTGCAGGATTATAAATCTGGAAGCTTATAGGGAAGCTGTATAGAGTCATTTCAAGCAACAATATTCCCCTGTAATCGAACCCTTCATTCCATGGATTGTTATCAAGCATCGAAAACACTGTTCCCTATGGATAAACGGGGAGATTTGTGGACTGCTTAGGCCTACACAAGTGGAAGAGTCTTTATTACATTTGGGACTTCAGAGACAAGAAAGTTGTACACTGGACCAGAAACAAATATTGCAGAAACATATCAGTCACGCATGAAATTAAAAAATGCGTCCAACCCAAAAAGCATTGGTACAATTCAAGAAACTATATTCGTACATCGACTAAACAAATAAGACAGCTAACACGATCTTAAACTTGATTACTGACAAAGACATTTGAAGAGGATCACGGAAAAACCCAATCAATGATAGACCACCTCTGCAGAAGTCGCTACTATTCGAAGCTTCTGCCCTTGTTGCAACACATGAAAAATGGATAGATCCCGCCGACATCTATATACTGTATTCCAATAATCAAATGAAATAGGCACAGGAAAATAAATGGGACCCAACGATTTTCACCCAAAGCTTTTCAAGGGGTTGTTAACTCATACAGACATACCAACTTTAGGTTATCCCTCCTACATGGAAGAGTGCGATGTGATTAGAAAAGTGCAATAAAGGAGAACCTGGGCATTTTTCTACAAACTACAGGCCTATTAGTCGTACTATCACTTTGATCAACATACTGAAAAGAATAATCAAGAGAACCACCGTCATATATTTGGAAAATAACAATTTTTTATCCACAGTACAGCATGTTTTAGAAGGAAATATCTCGGGTCTGACAAGGAAAAGCTGAATCAAGTTCAGGAACAACAACAAAACCACCTATGGTGTTTTTATAGATTTCTGAAATGCTTTCTGCAGTGACACAAGACTGCTCTTATGACTGGGAAGTTTTGGAAACAAACGTGGTCCTCTAGGGCGGATCAAGGATTCTCTCATAGGAAAAAGACACAGAGTGAAGGACAACTTACAACATTTTGGACAGCACTAAGTGGTGGTTTACCAAACGTTATACGAACGAATTACGTTTGCTCACCAAACCTCTGATGGTTCTCTAGACGGATGACCTAAATATTTGGAAAATTTTACGGATGACAACAAAAAGTTCATGTCACAAGATATCAACTACCTTCAAAACTGGACCAAAGAACAGATATTCCTTATGAATATAGCAGAGCGCAACCATGCGCATAGGGCTCGTGTATCAGAGCATACAATTTCAAACGAACGCAGGTCTACGTGTCATAATAATGCATCAACTAGAAATTAAAGCACATCTGCACAGTGGTAGCTTGTAGTCTTAGATACTTATGGACAATACACAGTGCCTTTTACCAGGATCAACAATGAAATATTCACCGCTATAAATCTCTCGTGAGGAGCTGTCTCTAAGCCATGGTAGTGAGACCGGAAGCAAAGACAAATTGTCTTACGAAATTTATGATATCCATTGTCTGTACAACTACAACAAGTAGGTATCTTTGAACAGATCAAACGGCTTGAAAACTACACTTCGATGACAACGGTAATCTGAGTATGTGCTGTCAGCTATGAATAGCACTAAGGGTCAAAATGAGTCTTTTCCATGTCGTAATGAACAACCAGGTTTGTAAAATGGGAAGCCTAACAATCAAAGAATTAGACGTTACTAATTTGTGAGGGGTCAGAAATAGACACATAAACCAAAATGCCATGGGAAAAGTCAGAATACATAATACAATCAATAAACTAACTTGTAAAGAGTCATTAAATATACTAAGCTGGTCCTGCAGGTATCTCCGTTTTGTGGGAATATCAAGTGTGGGCCACAGTGTTCGTAATTCCTCTTCAAGGCACTTTCTATCCAATTCAGGACTAATTTCGATGCGTACGCCCATTTCATCCTTGAGAAAATTAGCTAGCGACTCAGCTTCTTCTTCAACAGTTAGCGGGATAGTACTCATCACTTGCAAGGTTTGTCCTGAAGGGAAAATGAGTTTTTGCAACTTATGTTACCTTCTTCAGCTTTGTCAAATCTTCGGGATTTTAGTTTGACGGAGATTCGGCCAAACTTCTCAATCCTTTCATCAAGTGTAAGTTTCATTGCTTCTTCGGCTTCTTTCCAAGACTGTGTCCAGAACTCACGACTACTTGAAACGGACTTGCTGTCATACTTGACTCTTTCCTTTAAAAACAATGAGTAAAGTGACAGAAACTCACAGATCTGTCTTTACAGGAACGTAACTTTTCTTCAACATATTCATCAAAAGCTTTCTTACCCTCAAATGGAATAAGATTGACTGCAGATACCCATGCTCTTTCCACCAAGGGCCCAAGGAACTGAACATGATATGTGACTGACCGACCTATATTATCAGAGAGGACATATAACATAAAGTGATCTAACCTTTCTCTTTAACATAATCATCTCCATTAGGAGCGTAGTAAATCATGCATGGCCACCAAGGGTGTGAACCAACTTTTGCCCAAAAAATACTGCCTAGTTGGTAATCATTAGTAACACTGGGCATATTCGGAAGTGTAACGCAACGTTTGACCGAAGCGCCTCAATTTGAATCAAAAAGACTTGTGTAAAGAAGTCAAAACCCCCTTGTAAAATTGAAGCATAATCTGACTTTGTATAATAAGACTAAAAGCTGTACACCTTTTTTGTCACCTTGAGTGTCATAGTGATTTAATCCCCACTAGATTCAAAAAATGTTAAATTGCTTAACGAGATCTGATGAATGTTACATTAGTTTTGCAACATCCTTGGATGAGAATAACCCTCCAGAAAATGTGTTGGATATGAAAGACAATTCGTTTTGGATAACTACGGGTATTTTCCCTCAAATGCTGGTGGTATCACTTATTCAGCCTGCTAGAATTAGTAAAATTAAAATTTTCTCCAGCAATATTAATATTCTTTGGGTATGTTTTATGAGGAGTTAGCTGTTTATTTGGGGCATCTTGCTGTCTTTTTATCTCTACAATAGTATTGTTAATTTTTCATTTTTATTATTTGTTGGTGTACCAACATGATGTTAGGATTAGGTAGACTTCGAACAATAAAGCTGGTACGTTAGTTGTAAAGAGGATTTAGGAAATGTCTAAAGAAGCTTCACATATCATTTTATAATATGATGAGAAACGGAAACCTCGTTTTATTATTATATTTTTGAAAATTAGGCCACCCAGTTGCAGCTTATTATATTCTGAATGATGATTTGGTTATCAGCCTTTCTTACTTTCCAAGACACTCCTGGCATATCAAAGAGATGTTAGGCCGTAGTGCAAGAAAACACAAGGTAGTATTTTTTTATTTTTGATTACAGCTTGATTCCACACCGTATTTTTGGTACAAGTATGGAATTTTCAGCATGGATATCGATAGCCCAAATTTTGCAGGCCGACCATAGATATCAGGTGTGCGTTGGCAGGGGATCGAACCTCGGACCATTTGCATGGTTGACGAGAGTCCTAACCACTGTGCCACCGACGCACACAGCTTCTTTTACGGGGTAACTATCGATTAAGTCTCTTTCCAGATTAAGTGGTGAACGCCTTCACAGAGAAATTGAATTTTCAAGGAGCTTTATATATAATGACCACGGACCTGACCTATTCGCTCTTTTCCTTCCCACCAGGTCGGAACACCTTAGAGGACATTGCAGGAGAGTTCAAAAGCCAAGAAGAAATCATATTGCTGTTGAGTACTAGTTCTCACACCGAGTCATAAACTCTTGGAACCGACTCCCAGAAGAAGGGGTGTCTGCAACCTCAACTGATTCGTTCAAGAAGGGTTTGGACAACCACAGAAATTTACTAGAAAAGGATTAGGCTCCAAGCCTCCTATCCTCAACCAATAACTCTGAATCTGAAAATCTGTTAACATAGCTTACGGCTAGTTTGCTAACCTTTGTTACAAAAAACCGAAGACTAAACGATGATAAGTCGAAAAAACTTTCCAAAACACTTGCCTGCAGAGCATGATTCATATATGTTCTGCAATTTATCGCACATGATTCGCATGGGCAATATACTCTACTCCCACATGATTACTATTATTATCTGTGACATTAGAAGCTGAGCTAGCTTGTATCTCTGCATTTTAAGGCAGTATTCTATGGACATATTTCATCCTTCCTTGATGGTGAATATTTGAATTTTTGGTATTGACAATTCAAAATCTTGCAGCTGTAAAGGTCTTATTACTTCAGTCCACAGATGAATTTCTCAGTCACCCCACTGGATATACTTGCTACATTTCATCTTGATATAAATACGATATCTTCCACTAACTTCTTTTCAAGGTTAGCCATGTTACACTATCCAGTATCCTCATGACTACAGTCACTAGTTAAAGTTAATATGTGAGGGACGTTTTCTAAGATTTCATATACTGGTTTTGATTAGCAATTTCAAGTTTTTGAAGTTTCGTTCATTAAATTCAGCCATTTATCTGGAATAACTTCGGTAGACGATGAAAGAGGTAAGAGTGATAAATGCAAACGATATACATTTAACATTTGTCAAAACCCAGGTACTCCTTTCCATTCAACTGCTCTTTATATCTTGCTAGTAGATGTTGTTTTTAACTGGATACCAGTCTATATGTATTTTAAGGATATATAATGAGTATATAAGAGAACTGATCTGTATGAATAATACATCCAATTTTAACTAATATACACACAGCTGTCTTTTGAGAGAAAATGTAAGTATGATGCGATTTCCAGTCTGTATTATTAGATAACCTGAGTTTTTCTTTGAAGGAATTGCATAACATACTGCTGAAGCTGGGATCGTAGTAGTTTTGTGTGTGACCAGTTCTAGGCGAAAGTGTTTTTATTGAAAATTTAGAAGATAAGTCACTAAACCGTGTGTTGCGTTCTAACCGATAGAATAGCCATCGAAGAACGGTTATGTTTTCAGATTAGGAGAATGATTGTGACTAGGACTGCTCGATAACAATGATTACTCGTATTCAATATCAACCTGAAGCTGTTATTCATATTTCGGATATAAGAGCCGACTCCATATTGCTGTAAGGATAAAATTTTAACTAGGTCCTAATAGAATGAAGGTAATTTAAGATCATTTGAGGACTAAGGCTTTATAACACACCATGCAAAATCCAGCATAATTAGTGAGTATGCAGAAAACCGATAGCTTTCCAACAGGAACATCCTGGTTCTTAGTAATATGTTCAGTCTTTTTTTACCTCACTGTTTGTTTTCACATTGTTGTAGCGACCGAAAATGGCCTCAACATAGAACTTTTCTTCAAAAACAACGAGCTACATACACTGATTCCTTAAAAATACTTTGTTCATTAATTTGGTCTGAAATTTACACTTTGTGTGAAGCTAATTTAAACTTTACTTTAGAACAAAAAGTCAGATCTCTTTTGAAATGACATTAATGCCTAACAGCTTGTGGGCATTAAGTACCCTGTGTATGTTCCAAACATAAAAGTTTGGTTATAAAAACAGTATAAGTAACAGGTGCTTCTGAGAAAATGGATGATTTCTACACTTTTCCTAAAAAAACCTCGTCATCGATATTTTGTGACCTAATTCAAGTAACTAGTTACTATGTTGGGATTTTACTTAACAATCTAGGAAAAGATTGGCTTGAAGGTTTCTTTTCCCATTTTTTTTTCACCTAATTCAGCTTTTTAGACAGTCCAACTCTTCTCCAGTCATATCATAAGCGAGCAGAGGTAATTAGACACAACACACATTAAAGAGACATATCAATGTAAATTATTATCATTATTATCATCACTTTTTATCTCTTAGCACACTCCTGGTTAACACAATTCATGTCACAGAAGTGAACATTACCATGTCTACACTCTGACTCTTGTCAGTATCAAAATTTAATATGCCCATAAAGCATTAGTAATAATTGTTAATAAAGTGAATCATGTTTTGTAGAGATCTGGCTTATTGGCTAAAGCGCACTCAGTTTTCAGTCGATGAGTCCCAGGTTCTAGTTCCGCTCCACTTATTTATCATCAAGCCTAGATTTAAGAATTATATTTTTGGTTGGAGGATTTCCATCATGAGCTGACATCAGCTAGAGAACCATTGGAAAACCAGCACTGGAATACTGGACGGCTGTTTCGTAAGTCCAGTTTAGAACTCTTCCTCACTATGCACCCACCGAGGCTCGAACCCAGGGCCTTCTGGTCACAAGGCTAGCCCATCAACCAGTAAGTCACCGGGAGCTGATCCAATAGCCAGTCCATGAATTGTAACTTCTCTTAATTCATAACCACTTCGCAATGTCTTCTTCGATGAGTTACTGCCTCACCTTCAACCTGCTGTACCCTACTGGTCATGGCTTTCCACTAGAACCTCAGGCTATCTGCTTGAATAGAGCCAGTCGCTAGTGATGAAAATCCTCGAACCAATCAAAAAGGATCCCTACAAAGAAAACCAATACTTGAAAATTATGTTTTTACCTACACTCTATATGGTTATTATCTGAATACTTCCTTAACCCATTAATTTTTCGGAAACAATAGGAAAGTAATCATTCACTTGAAAATCTAGTTAACCTTGATATAAGAATGAAAATGTTGAAAGAGTTATGTGCAGTTTTACATAATTTTATTCATTAGATATAGTATCAGTAATCCCTTGGATTGTAAGTGAAATATAGAGCTTCAGCAGCACATCCCCATTTCACTCTTTTCTCTCTAATAAGATGCAGTACACGGTATATAATGGTGTATCTTCCTCTCCTTTGCTTACTGAAGCTGGAGTTCCTCAGGGTGCTGATGTCTCTCTGTTTCTCTTTTCTTTCTTCTTACATAACTTACCTCTTTCAGACGAAATCAACTTCGTCAAATATGCAGATGACCTGACTGTTTCGCTTCCCGTTAAGTCTCAGTCAAACTGTTTCAAATTAAATAGCTTTCTGTCGGACATCAGTCAGTGGTCTAAACTAAATGGCTTCATGCCTCAAAATGACAGACTATTGACTTCTCTTTTAGGCATAAACGAGATCTACAAACACTAGTAAGCACTCATGAAGCCTGTAGCATTGAGGGGACTAAAATTGAATCTAAGTCTAATGCGAAATACCTCGATCTAGTTCTATCTTCCGACCTTACTTGGTTATCTCATATCCTAACGATTTCTAAGAATGTGTTCCATCTAACCTACTACATTAAAAATATTAGGCTATCTGGGATCACCCAACCTCTACTTTCACAATTTGTCAACTCTTGTATCTTACCTATTCTACTTTACTGCTCCCCATCTGTCTTTCCTGGGCTACTGAAAAAGGACTATACCATCCTGAGGAGGATATTGAAGGTAGTTAGTAGGACTAGTGGTGTAAAACTCAGTCAGCTCGTCACTACATTAGTAGAAAGGCATCGGAATACATGCATCTAAATACATGGTCTAAAACCATATTCTCCGACCCCTAAAAACCCCTCTATTCCCAACTCTCTCCTTGTATTTGATCAGGTAGAACCAGAAATCAGTATAAAATAATGTATGCTCGTACAACCA